TGGGAGGATCCTTCCCCTTTTACAGATAAGGAGACTCATGCTCAGAGAAGGTCGGTGACTTGCCCAGGATCACAGAGCTGCGGAGAGGCTGAGCTGGGGATCGGAGGCCAGGACTTCCCACATCACACTGTTGCCTTTCTCTCCAGACAACAAGGGGAAAGGACAGGGATTATGGAGCCAGGGGTGACCCCGCAGCCTAGGCGCCAGTGAACCCAGGGGCTCGGGAAACTGACCAGAGGTCAGAGCAGTGAGTCTAGAGTTGAGCTCAGCTTTAACCCCAGCTCCCGGGGGCATCAGGGTGGCCGGCTTGGACCACAGGGTAGGCATCTGTCCCACCCCCCACCCAGTGCAGCTAAGAGGTCACTCTCAGTGGGTCAGCCAGCAAATACTTACCCCCTGCCGCCGGTGTGTTGAGTAGTGTTATAGGTTTCAACAAGCAGAGCCTGGAGGCCAGGGACATGCAAAATCCAGGTAGTGTTCACCTGATGAGCTAGCTTGTTAGCACCTGAACTCCATCTACGTGCTGGCCCCTAACCTCAGGGCACGGCATTTTCACCAGGACCCATGGGACTTTCAGTTCTGGTTTTGTAGGTATAGTGATGATAATAGTGATGGTGATGATGGTGAAGATGGTGATGATGGTGATGATGGTGAAGATGATGGTGATGATGGTGGTGATGATGGTGGTGATGGTGGTGATGATGGTGGTGGTGGTGGTGATGATGGTGATGATGGTGACGGTGATGATGATGGTGATGATGGTGGTGATGATGGTGATGGTGGTGATGGTGGTGATGATGGTGATGGTGGTGATGGTGGTGATGATGGTGACGGTGATGATGGTGACGGTGATGATGGTGGTGATGGTGGTGATGATGGTGGTGGTGGTGGTGATGATGGTGACGGTGATGATGGTGGCGATGGTGGTGATGGTGATGGTGGTGATGGCAGTGACATCACCTGACATCACTGAACACCATGTGCCCAGCAACGTTTCAGCATTAGATGGATCCTCTTTAACTTTCATCATAACCCTACAAAAAGCAGATTCCTTATTGCTTCCATTTGACAGAGAAGGAAAATCAGACTAGTGATTCACCCTCATCCCAGAGCAGGTGGAGGACACGCCCGGGATCCACGCCCTGGGGTCTGACCTCAGCTCTGCACTGAGACCGATGCACCACCCGCCTCCCCCGCTGAGGCGCTGTGCTCCTCCAGGACAGAGCCGGCTCTGAGCCCAGGGTCTGCACAGGGTCGGTGCTCGGGGGAGGTCTGTTAGGAATGACTTATGCACCATGATCCGTACAGATGTAAAATCCCACCTGTGCCTTGATGCCACCTCTACAGGCAGTAAGCGTCCCCATCCATCTGAAATGCTCCTGGAGGAATGAATGGATTCATGCAGCTGTTGGCTGGCTCTTGCTGGGAGAATCGGGTCTGGGACATCCCCAGCCAGGCCTCCCGGAATCTGCTGTCCCAGCTCAGCCCAGGCCCCCAAGGACCCACGAGCCCCGGCTGCTCCCTAGATTAAGCCCACCAGGGGGTGAGGACCCATTTGATCTCCCGGGTGAGAGAAAGGCCTCTGATTCCCACCCCCCCAATCCTGCGCCTCGGCTGCCCAGGTCTTATAGGGAAAGACAAGCCCACAGGGGCAGGGACTGGAGGAAGGGAGGAGGCTCTGGTCTGTTGCCAAAGAGAGAGCGGGGAGGAACACACTTTTCTCCAGACAAGCTGTTCGCTTACCAGCTGACTTTGGTAAAAGAAAAAAATATTCTTAGTGCCATCTGTTCCCAGAGCGGGGCTGGTGTGGGGCCGGGGCTTCCTGCACAGGCAGCCAGACCCAGTTTCGGAATCCGAGACATCTGCCCCCCCCCAGATTATTTCGGGAAGCGGCTCAACTCGGCAGCACCTCGGCCTTCCTTCGAGGCATTTCCCGTCACTCCAAAGCTGTTTGCACACGCAGCCCCCCCCCACCAACCGCCAGCTCCCTCTTTGGCCTCATGGCCTCGGGCTCAGCCTCTGTCATCATCCTGCCTCCTGCTTTCTCTGCCTCAGGAGCCAGACTCCCCAGGGAGGCAGGGGGGGTGCAGCTGGGGGGGCACCAGGACCAGCGAGCTCCCTGTCCCCCTCCCCAGTCTCCTCTGTGAGAGCCAGGGCCCCCACGGGCCCCCCTCCCCCCCCCCGTCTCCTCAAGGATCATCCCTTTTGTAAAAGCTCATCTCCCGGGGGAGGGGGTGGGGCATCGCAGGCCAGTGGCAGCATCAGAAGGTGGGGGCAGGACGCAGACCACAAAGCTGGCCTGTCAGGAGGGCCTAGGGCATCAGAGGCTGTGCGGAGGCTGGGGACCAGGTGGCTTTAGAGGACAGTACCGTGATCACGTTCCCAGGACAGAGCAAGACTCCAATTGCTGGTGCAGAATTGGGGTCCGAGGGGAGGAAGGCAGAGAGCCCAGCGGGGCTGTCGCTGTGTCCGGCGCCCCATGGAGGGTGAGCTTGGACGTTCAGGGGCAGAGGGGAAACGAGGAGGGTACAAGTTTGAGAGGCGAGCAAGACTTGGTTCCCTGGGAAGGGGAGGGTCTAGATGAGTCTGGGGTCTGGAGGCCAGGAGGCTGGAGACGGGAGTCAAGCTGTCAGACAGGGGAGGAGTGAGTTGGGTGGATCCCCCCCCAAGGGAAGCTGGGCCCTGGGCACTTGGAACCGTGGTGTGCTCAGGAAGGGGGGCGGTGGGTGTCAGGGGCTGGGGGGTGGGGGTCGAGTAACTGTCTACAGGGAACAGAGTGTCAGTTTGGCGAGATGGAAAGAATTCTGGGGCTGGATTGTGGGGGGATCACGTGGCAAGGTGAAGGACCTTCATGCCACTAGACGGTACACTTCGAAATGTCAAGTGCATTTTACCACAATAAAACAACTGAATGGTGCAATCAAAAGGCAGAGCTATTCAGATTGGCCAGAAAGATGCCACCATTTGTGTCTGGAAGGAACGCTCTTTACACAGACACAGATAGTTTCAAAGTAGCAAGACGGAAACGACAGCCCGACAGCTCGCTGTGTTAGTGTCAGACAAAGGAGGTTTCAGAGCAGGAGATACTCAGGGGGCAAGGAGGGCACAGCGGTGGCCCCAGGGGAGCATCCTGACCGTCTGCTTCCTCACCCGCCCCTCCTGCGCCCCCCATGCCTGCAGCGCCTCCCTGCACCTGTCACCCCCTCCCACACTTTGAACGTCTCCCTCTTCCCCCACCCCTTCTCTCATCCAGAGCCTTCCAGCAGGCATTTATTTTTTATTAAAAATTTTTTAAATTTATTCGTTTAAGGAGCGACAGAGAGAGCGAGTGGGGGGAGGGAGAGAGAGAGAGGGGGAGAGAATCCCAAGCAGGCTCCGCATTGCCAGCGCGGAGCTCTGTGCGGGGCCTGAACTCACGAACTGCGAGATCACGACCTGAGCCAAAAGCAAGAGTCGGACGCTTAACTGACTGAACCACCAGGCGCCCCCCAGCAGGCATTTAACTGGGCAAGGTCCTCTGCGCGTTCCCCCTCGGCCCTCGGCCTCCAGGCTCTGAGAAGGGCCGCCCCGGGCTGTCTTTGCTCACTGCCTTACACACGCCGCACTCGCTACAGGTTGGCAATGTTCACCCCTGTTCAGTCTGACGGCAGATTTAAATGTGTTAATTTTTTGTAGCTTTGTTGAGGAGTGATGGATAAGAGGTAACTTTCCCCAGTGTTAAGGGTACAATGTGACGAGTTGTGATGAACGTGTATCGTCATGTAACCACCTCCCCAACGTGACACGGAGCATTGCCGCTTCCCGCAAAGGTCCCTTCATGCGTCTTTGCTGTCAGAACCCCTCCCCAAGCCGCTGGCCCTGGGAACCACCCCTCTCTCTCGACCACTACAGTTGGGCCTCTTCTAGAACCTCTTATAAACTGGAGCATCAGCACATAGCCTGCGGGTGTGTCGCCTGCCCAGCGCCCCTGGGGTCTTCCACACTGGCTCTGCGTCCACGCCACTTTCCTGGGTGCCATGCCGAGCCCGGTGCACGGACGATGCGCTGTAATCTACATACGCCTTTGCCGGCGATGGACATTCGGGTCCTTCCCAGTCTGAGGTGTTTGTGAGTAGTATTACTATTCACACGTAAGCCTTCGTGTAGACATGTTTTCAGTTCTTCATTTTTGAGACAGAGAGAGACAGAGCATGAGCAGGGGAGGGGCAGAGAGAGAGAGAGACACACAGAATCCGAAGCAGCTCCAGGCTCTGAGCAAGCTGTCAGCACAGAACCCGACGCGGGGCTGGAACCCCTGAACTGTGCGTGAGATCATGACCTAAGCCGAAGTTGACGCTTAACCGACTGAGCCCCCAGGCGCCTCTGTTTTCAGTTTTCTTGAATAAACACTGAGCCACGAGTGTCTGTTTTAGCCTCTAAGAAACTGCCAAACTCCTTTCCAAACCGCTTCCCACGAGCAGCGTGTGAGAGTTCCAGGTGCCCCGCTCCCTTGCCCACACTTGCTATTGTCAGACTTTTCAACTTGGCCATGAAAGGAGGTGCACAGTGGCATCTCGTGGGGTTTGATTTCCCTAGTGAATAATGGCATTGGGAACCTGGGTGAGTCAGCTCGGGCTGCTGTACCAGCTCACCACAGACTGGGGGGCTTAAACACCAGACATTCATCGCTCATAGTTCTAGAGGCTGGAAGTCCCGGGTCAAGGTGCCAGCAGGTTCAGTTCCTCCTCGTGGCCACCTTCTTGCTGTGACCTCACACGGCTGAGAGAGAGATCGAGCTCTGGTGTCTGGACACTAATGCCATCATGGGGGCCCCTCCCCCACGACCTCCTCTCTACCTAATTGCCTGTGAATGGTGGGGGGAGGGGGGAGCAGGTAGACGGGGGCCGGGTGAAAGGAAGACCCCTGGAGACTTTCTCACCCTCAGACCCCAACTCCTGATGTCACACCCCGTGGGACTTCCTCCCACGCCCCACCAGCCCCCTCCGCCAAAGCCCCTCCCCCAATCCAAGGCTGTCAAACTGTGATAACCCAGACCTAGCGGGGCCTGGAGCTGGGGGAGGAGGGGAGAAGCCCAGAGGCAGCCCCGAGGGGGGTCTGTCCCCTTGCTGCCGCCCCCTCCCCCCACGGTGCCTCGTCCTGGCTGGTTCCCGCCTCACGTCAGCTCCTGGGATGGCCACATTCAACCTTCCTACAAGGACTTATTCTTTGAGAAACACGGGCAGCAAGTGGCAGTTCTCATCAGAGAGAGAGGGTGATGGCCCGTCCTTGGGGACAGACCAGGACCCCATCCAACCTACAATCAACCACACGATGTCTCCTGTGGCTTCCGGGCAGGGCTCACCATCGAGCTGTGGGGTGCGCCTGGGGCACAGCTCCTCTGGCAGCAAGCGGATTACCTTCCCCACGGGGTTCGGGGCCTTGGCTTGGGGGCCATGTGGGACTCCTGCCTCCGGATGGTGACCCTGGGGCCCATCACCCTGAGCGAGAGGCCAGCTGGGCCTCTGATCTTCAGCCCCGGCCCCTGGGAGCCCTTTCTGCTCCCAAAGTCAAACCCCGCAGCCCGAGTGAAGGTCAGCATCCCTGGGCTCCTTGCTGCCCCCACGGGTGCCCTCGGAGAGGAGACGCTGAGAACCTTCCACGCCTAGCCGCAAGGAAAGGGGAACTGCCTCAGGGGGATCGGCTCATACTGACAATATATAAGCGTCTTTCCCCAGGCACTGCAGGCTCCCCAAATCCCTCCCAGAAATACGTTTGCCAATATCAACTGAGTGAGGCCAGAGGTTGGCTCAAAACAGATGCAGGCCCAGTGAATTCAAAGATACTTGGATGGAAACAGGGATCAGAGTTGGGGACAGGGCAGGTGGCCGGAGGGCACCCGGCTGTGTGGTGGCGGGGGTCGTTCTGTGGCCCCTGCGCCCTCCCGCTGGCTCGGAGCGTGGAGAAGCAACTTCGAGGGGCCGAGGCCGTTAATTCGGAGGTCCGTGGGGCGTGCTGTCCGCACGGTCTTTCAGCTTGTGCTTGTGAAACAGGCTGTAGAGGACCCGGAGCGTGCTCTTGGTGTCCTTGTTCACGATGTCTGCAGGGCACAGCACCCAGGACAGTGGTCAGGCCCGGCTGCAGCCCCAGGACCCTTGCATGGCCTTCCCTCCTGCTCCTCCCCTGCGCCCTGGTCTCCCTCCCCCCACCACGCACATGGTTCCACAAGGTCTCACCTGTCAGGACAGCCTGCCGCAGGGCCCCCGCCCGTCTCCTCTCCCTGTGACCCCTCCCGCTCTGGGGCTGGTGGAGGCTGTGGGCACAGCACACCCTCCCCCCCCAGGAAACCCAGAGACACTCAGTATCTGCCGGGCCCACACGGCCATGTGCCGTCCCCCGCCACCACAGCACCATCACCCTGGGGCGCATGCTCACCTTCGGGGTTGAGGGGGTAGCTGAGCAGGCCTTCATCCTTAAGCAGCTCCAGGGCCAGGGTGACATTGTGCAGCTGTGACAAGACCCCACCAGAGGTTGGCAAAATGAGGGCACCCCAACCCAGGTGCTGGTCCCCAAACACCGAGCCCACCCATCACTCATCACGCCCAGTGTGCTTCAAGGAGTCCACCTCTCGTGGGAAACACAGTTACAGAGAGGGGCATCCGATCCGGACATCAGGGAGGGCTTCCTGGGGGAGGTGACGTCTGGAGCTAAGTCCTGCCAAGTCAGGGGACTCAGCCAAGGAAAGGAACACAGGTTTATCCTGACCTTTTCTGACGCAGCCCCAATCCTGGAGGCAACGAAGTCTCTGCCAGAAACAGCTCAGTCCCAGGGGCAAAGCATAGATGAGGAAACCGAGGTTCAGAGTGGCCAAGGGGCTCCTCTGAGCTCACAGGACAGAGAGCATCAGAGCCAGGACGGTCTCACTCTGGTGTCCGTGCACAGCCGGCTGGAGGCTGGAGCCGCCCGTGCCCCCCGCCCGGACCCACCTGGGCATAGATCCCCGCTTGGTCGCTGGGTAACCAGCAAGTCACTCTGCTCCCCTGATCCGCCTTGCGCACCTGCAGGGCGGAGTCCCCACCACTTCCCCGAGTCCCGATCGACCGGGATGCTGCGTGGAGCCCCGGGGAAGGCTGTTAGGGGTGTTGTCCTGTTCCCGGCTGGCGCCTCCCTGGGCCTCGATACAATCAAACAGACCCTTCCCTCCTGGGGGCAGCAGCCTGGTGTCTTTAAAGGAGATGGCGTGGGGTGACGGTGACGGTGAGGGGGTGGGGTGGGGTGAAACAGGAAGCAGGCTCTCCCGTCAATAGTCTCGCACCGCCCCCCCCCCAGGCGACTGCGGGCTCCGGAAGGCCTGGACTGGCCGCTGGCCATGCAGCCCCCTCCCCGCCCCACAGCCTGCTTGCGACTGTCCCCATGGCAACCGCACCGGTGGCCTAGAGGCTCGCCTGGCGCAGAAGCAGCCCAGCCAGACCCACTTGGGGAGGCCAGCCCGGCCCTTGGCCGCCTCTGCCAGCCCCCCCAGGGCTCTGGGTAGAGGACTCTTGCAATCTGGACCGGATGTCGGTGCGGCGACCCCCACCAGGTCCCAGGTGACAGGCAGATAAGCCACCCGTCCCGGCTGGGGTTCAGGGCCTTCCTCGTGCAGCACGTCCCCCAAAGCTGCCACGTGGGTGGGACATGATGACGGACACGGGATGGAAGCCACGAGCAAGATCTGCAGGTGGGTGACGAGGCACAGCGGGCGTGTCTGCAGAGTCCCTGCGTCTGGGCTCCCGCACGGGCCGGGAGGTGGGACACGTGCGGGGGAGGGGGGCTCGAAGCCCCTGAGAGAGAGGGAGAGAGGGGCGTGTCCTGGTCCAAGGACACTGGGTGGGGCCACCACCCCAGGACCTCCGCTGCACCCTGGGCGAGAGGTGGAGCGCTCCCTGGTGACTCCGGGCAGGCAGTGTGGGCACCACAGGCAGCCCCTCCCCGGGGTCTCTCTCCACGGGGAGAGAATGGACAGAGTCCCGCAGGGCAGGGGGGTCTGAGAAGCGAGAGTGTGAGGGGGGCGCACCATAGCCGGTCAGGGGGAGCCCCAGGCTGTCAGTGGTACCGAAGCTTGCGGGGGGGGTGGGGGGCGGGGAGAGGTGCTGCAGACAAAGATGGGACGTCTCAGCGTGAGCAGGTCAGAGCTCCACTGCTCACTGCTATCATCGTGTCCCAAAGGATCCCCCACCCCCACCCAGCCTGGAATATTCTGGGAAACGAGGGTTGTGATTGCTGCTGTTGTTCGCATTCTCATCGTGAACACTATTCACTGGCTGCACAGAAGGTAAGTGTCTGAACGGAACAAGATGCTGAGACTGGACTCGTGCCACAATGCTCCCCCGCCTCGCAGCCCTGCCTTTGATGGACTCACTCTCTACACCAGCATCTCCCAAAGCATGATCTGGGGCATAGGGGGAAAGGGCATCTGTGACCAAATGGTTTGGGGAAAGGGTAGCTTAACGAAATAGGGAAATCCTTCGCTGCGGAACTTCTCAGAGCCTTGAATACATTATGGCAGACCACGAACCTTCAAGACGATGCATGGTTTCCCATGTTATTGGACCACAGGATCCACTTGTCATGGGTATGACATGACATGGGGATGGTCCCTCAGGGGACCAGTGTTTTGGAAACACTTGCTCCATTCACTTATTTAAAAAATATTTTTGAGCACCTACCATGGGCTGGCTGTGCGACAGGGACAAAAATCACCTCCTTCCCACTGCCCTCATGGAAACCGTGCTTTGAGAACTGCCGCCAGCGAGACCGTGAGAACAATCACACTTGCTTCCACTTGTCAAGCCCGAGCTCGACCGGAGTGAGCCCCGCAGAGTCGCCCCAGGCTCTAGAGCCGTCTCCCCACACCCCCCTGAGTGTCACTTCGCTTCCGTGCGCGGTTTGAGGCTGTGACAGGACAGCCTCCACGTTGCACGAGCGGAGGGAAGGTTGTGATCCAGGAGGATGCGCTCGAATCCCCCCGGGGAGAAATAATTGGACGTGGGAGGAAGCCCACGGTTCCTGGAACCGGTGTTTTGCTTTCGGCAGAGCAGACCGTCGCCTCCCGCTCCGTCCCTGTAGCTCGTCTTCCGGAAAGGGATGACAATCTCACGTAAACACCGGTGGCAAGGAAGGGCTGATAATGAGGCAGCCAATTTCGAGGGGCCACTCTGCCAAGATCACCATGTCCTACCGTCAGAAAGGGCTGGTGCGCCCCCCTCTTCAGCCAAGGACCCCCCAGCAGCTCGATCACACGATCCTGAAGCTGAGATCCCCTACAATAAAAACCTGCTCCTGGGGGCCGAGCGCAGAGGCTGCTTCGCTCCCCTCTGTGTGGGCTGTGGCTCATCTTGGGGAGCTGGTTCTAACCTCGGTGGATTCCGCAGGCTGCCAGCATCCAGGGACAGGAGGGGTCAGGGCGTTTGTCACTGGCTTGTAATGGGGTTTTGTGAGCAGAGGCTTTGAAGTCCCAAGGAGTCTGACACCCAGGTAACAAACAGGGGACCCCTGTGCTGTCCCTTCCCAGACTCCCTGGGCTGCGAGTGGCCCGCACTTCTCTGTCCCCTCCCCTCTCTCCTGCCTTCTTCTGCCTCCCTGTCCTGCCCTCTGGGCACAGGGTTCACACCTCCGCCCCAGCTGGGCTCTGACCCCCCTGGGCCTCTGCTGTGTCCCAGCAGCTCTGGGCAAGCCTCCTTCTCAGCCATAGAGAGGCTCACACCCCCTCTGTCTCCCCTGGGGCTCACCCTGACTCCCCAGAGACAGGGAGGGGGCTTTGGAGGCAAACAGGCCTAGGTGAGAGTCTGACCTCCAACCTGAGTGATGTGTGCTTGTGGCCAGATTCCTGTACCTCCCTGAACTCCATTCCCTCGTATGGAAATGGGGGTGGGGACAGGTCTTAACTCAGGCCCAACAGGAAGAGGGGCTAGCAAGTTCACCCACTGTGCCTGTGAGACATCACCTCAGTGCACCCCCCATCTCTGCACCCACACACTTTGTAGGTCTCTCCCACATCCCCCACCAAGGCCACAGGGCCTGCCTTGGGAAGTGACAGCATGCCGGTCCCAAGCCTAGGCTTAGCCTCCTGTATCTCTGTCCTTGCCATAGAAAACCAGGCTTGCCGCTGGTCCCAGGATGGTGGCAGGCATGTGGCACGGAGTTGAATTGCCCCAGCTGAACCCAGCCGGCCTGCAGATCCATGGGCATAAGTGATTGCGGTTTCAAGCCACCTGTTGTTCGGGTGCTTGTTACACAGCATTTCTGTGCCCATAGCTGACTGATACACTTCCCGGCGAGTGGTAAGAATGCCTTCTTCCTGCTACTACCTCCAGAACCACACACACTGCATGGCTTTAGCCTACTTGCTCCTCGCCCTGGACCTGAGCTCATGAGAATCTGAGCCCCGAACCAATCTTCAAGTCAAGAGCGCTCCTGCCTCCCGGGAAGGCGGAGGCCATGCCCACAGAAGCCTGCATCTCCATGGTGCGAGGGGAAGAAGAGCAGGCTGAGGATCAGAAGGCCAGCGCCACTGAATGGCGGAGTGGTCCTGAGCGAGTTCCAGAGCCTCTCAGGGCCTCAGCTTCCCCTTCTGTAAAATGGAGACACACCCCCTGCCCTGACCCCCGACAGGGGTGCTGGGTGAGGATGAAGCAGGGTAAAGGGTCAGGTGAGGCCAGGCATAGGAAGTAAATCCAAAAGGAAGTGGGCACAGCTGTGGTTCAAGGGCCTCTGGAATGCTGAGGAGCCAGGAAGGTGGGCAGAGCCGACAGCCCGGCTGAGCAGGTAGGAAAAGGCGGGAGGAGGAGTCTGGGCCAAAGACCCGGAGACACGTGAGATCCAGGCTTCAGGCCGGCTGTGAGGCTGCGGCCAGAGGCCAGTGGGACACGGACGGACAGGGCTGTGGGTGTGTGGGGAGGGGTCTGGAGGAAGGGACCAGAGTTGGGAGGGTGGCCAAGCCCAGCAATCCGCCCCCCACACACCCCAGGCAGGCCACAAGGTCTGATCTGTCCCCAGGACCGTGGCCGTCACCCTCCCCAGTGACACGGCTGTGCCAAAGGGGCCAGAAATCTCTCCTCCCAGAAATGGCCCCACGGCCGACCCGGGAGCTGGCACTCAGCTCTGCCTGGTGCACCTGCTCTTCAGAAAAAAACCACTGCAATGGAGACAGTGGAGCTGCCCTCCTGCCCTGTGGGCCCCGAGGGACCCTGGCCTGGACAGAGATAAGCTGCCCCCTCGGTCCGGGCAGGCTGCCAACTCCCCGCTGCTCCGACCCCCATCCTTCAGCCACACCTCCAGCACCACTTCCGGTGAGGCTGAAGCTCACGTCGACCCCTGGCGGGTCCTGAGCAGGGCCGGGGCCGCAGGGACCGTCCACCCTCCATGCTTCCCCTCTGTAACTCTCCAGACTCTGTCTGTGTGGTCCGAGGGGAGGGCCGGGCCGGAATTGAGAACCCAGTGGGGAGACAGTGGGCTGGGGGGGAGCGGGGACCCAACCGAAATGTCTCATTCCTCTGCTACATCTGCCCTGATGCGGAGCCACGTGATGGGGGAAGGCGCTGCCCTGTGGGCCTTGGTCCCTGTGGGATGGCTGGGGAGGCTGGGGAGGCTGAAGAACGGAGCAGGGGATGGGAGCCCACCAGGCAGTCAGATCTGTCACTGCCACCAGCATGGCCGTTGTCTCCCCTACTTCCCCAGGTCTTTATGGCCCACATGGCACAGCTTGACACCAAGCAGGACCTCAAGAAATGAAGGATCAGGTGCACAGGTGGATGAGGGGGTAGGACAGGTGGATGGATGGATGGATGGATGAGTGGATGGATGGATGGATGGATGGGAAGGTGGATGAATGGATGGATGGATGGATGGATGGACGGATGAGTGGATGGATGAGTGGATGGATGGATGGATGGATGGATGGATGGATGAGTGGATGGATGGATGGATGGATGAGTGGATGGATGGATGGATGAGTGGATGGATGGATGGATGGATGGATGGATGGATGGATGGACGGACGAACAGACAGATGGGTAAATGGGTGGGTAGATGAGTGGATGGTTGGGTGGATGGATGGATGGATGGATGAATCAATGGACTGATGGATCGATGGATGGATGAGTAGATGGATGGATGGATGGACAGACAAGTGGATAGATGGCTGGCTGGATGGATGGATGAGTAGGTGGATGGATGGACGAGTGGATGGATGGATGGATAGATGAGTAGGTGGATGGATGGATGAATAGATGGATGAGTGGGTGAATGAATTGGGTGGATGGGTGAATGGATGGGTGGACATGTGGATGACCAAACAAGCTTCCCCTCCACGATTCACTTCACCTGGTAGTGAATAAGGAGACTGGTATTGCCCATTTCATAAGTGTCTGTTCAGGAATAGACCCTCAAGGAAACCTCTGGAAAACTCACCATTTCTGCAGGAGAGGTGGGAGTGAGGTAGAATTCCTTCAAGTGCAGGAAGAAGCCTTCCAGTTGTCCAATCAGCAAGAGTAAGAGGACCCCGTCTGCAAACTGGGGAGCGAAAGGAGAGCCCTGGAGGCAGAGCCGAAGGAGTCTTGCTCTGCCTTCTGCGGGCTGTGTCCCGGCTGCCTTTCTGAGACTCAAGGACAACACCCCCAACCTTGCAGTGTCATAAGCATCGGCGGCAGCAGGGAGCAAGCAATTAGCTGCCTGGCGCAAAGCACACACTCAATAAAATAATCTCTTTCTCTGTTAGCTGGGAAACAGCTGAATATCTCTTTTGAAACCACACACTGTCCCAGTAGCTACAGAAGCCCAGGAGAAAACGGAGTTGAGTGTAAAATTATTCCTCAGGAGGAGGCAGTGGACAGCACTCGGGGCTCATTTTGCTGGCTGCCACACTAATAGTCTTGTCGGCTCTGTCTGTGTGCTCAGAGACAAAGCGTCGCCCCACCACCCGCATATCATGGGCTGATATAATCCTATTCAATCTCTTCAAAGATACAAAGCACAAGATTGGATATTAGAGGGAAAACCGCCGCTCGAGCTCGACGTCCTTAATAGAATTTCCTCATATTAGGTCTGTTTCGATGTTATTAGTCTGGCCTGAAATCTTTTCCGCTGATATTCCCTGGTAATATCCCTGAACTATCAGAGACTTCAACTACCGCTTTTACCCAACAGTCTCTAAATATCGTCCTTACGCAAGCCATTATTTTCCAAACGCCATGAATTCACCAGGGAAGAGAAAGATGAAACAGGTGACGTGGAAACCTACAAGATCATGCTGTCCACAAGGACATAAACTACACTAAACCCCCCAATTCATCATTGATTGTGTGTCCACGTGCGCCAGGTGGTAGAGTCAACACCACAAGCTGCCTGTCTTATTCCTCCCTCTCAGGTCTGTGAGTCTCATATCCTTACATTCATTTTAAAAGAAGAGGAGCCTGGGGGCATCTGGGTGGCTGAGTCGGTTCAGCGTCCGACTTCAGCTCAGGTCGTGATCTCGCAATTCGTGAGTTCGAGCCCTGTGTCAGGCTCTGTACTGACGGCTCGGAGCCTGGAGCCTGCTTCCTATTTTGTGTCTCCCTCTCTCTGCCCCTCCCCTGCTCACGCTGTCTCTCAATAATAAAAAACGTTAAAAAAAGAAAAAAGAAAAAAAAATTAAGGAGCCTGAGGTTCAGAGAAGTCCAATCCAAGGCCACGCAGATAATGGGAAGGAGGTGTCCTTGAAGCCCAGGGGCCACACGTGTCCATCTGGCTTCTGAGCCCAGTATGTCCGCTCTGCCATGTCACTGCCCAGGGTTAACACACGGACTTCTCAGGCGGCCACCATGCGACGTATGTGGTGATGAGCGTAAAAGCTGTGGCCTCAGTACCCTGGATTCAAATCCCAGGTCTTCTGCTTTATCACTGTGTGACCCTGGGTGAGTTAATTAACACCTCTGTGTCTTAATATTGTCACGTATAAAACAGGGCAGCGTCTGTTCCCACCGTTGGGAGGATTCAATGAGTTACTATGAGTAAAGCACTTGGCTCACAGCCTGGCACATAGTGAGGGCTTTACTGGCTTGAGAAACCAGTCACGGGAGCAGATGCACCCCATTCCCCGCTGGCTAACGTCAGGATGTGTCTGAGAAGTCAGCGGCTCTGGCTAAGATCACCATAAGCCATTCGGTCCCCCCGGGACCAGACCTGACTTCCGCCTCCCTCCCCCACCGCCACCACGCCGCGTGAGCAGAACCCGCCCGGGCCGGTGGTTGATGTGTGTGGAGTCCTGGCCGCCCGAAGGCCCTGCGCTGGCCGTCAGCCCGTCGGCTTCTCCGTTCCCCTCCGTGTTGAGGGAGCATTGCAGGCACACAGCACCGTCACGGAAGGCCGCGGGCCCCTGCAGAGAGCTGGCCGTGCAAGATCCGGCTCCTGCCCTGCACCGGGACGTGGGGTAAGTCTGCCTCGGTGGGCTGAGCCACGCGGGGGCCCACGGATTCAGGGCTGTGGCGGCTCCTAAGACAACGCCCGGCAGGTAGCTCACGGCTAACAGGGACGTGAGCAAACGCAGTCATGCCAGGAGCTCTCCGTCAGCATAGACGCGACACTTCCTAAAACACACGCACGGCGTCCCTGGTGGTAAGGCTGCCTTCTGGCCACGTCCGCCATTAGAGAGGCGCCGAGTCTCCAAGAGGGGACACATCACAGGCCACGGGGGAGGGGGGGCTGAACGCTCTTCCCTCCCCGCACCCTGTGACCCTTCCCTGCCTGGGGACCCTGCCCCGAGTCCCTACCTGGGTGTCCAGATTCTGCACAGACAGGCCCAGGCGATCTAGCTTCTGGTTGACAAAGTTCACAATGGCCTAAACAAGGAAGGGCAAGGATGGCAGGCCCAGGCCTCGGGTTTTCCGCCTTCCCACTTGGGGGGGACAGAAAGCCCCCCCCAGGACACGAGGCAGACGGGGGGGGGGGAGGCGCGGAGAGTGGCTGCGAGCTTTGATCTCTCTTACCTCTTTGACGGCGTTCACTTTCTCCGGAGCCAGTTTAAATAATTCATCAAAGACGTCTTCTGCAGAGAGAGCCAATAAACACACCTCGTTACGATGCTGTTATCCTCACGCCAAACAGGGACGCGTTTCCATAAAAGTTTTCTCTGAATACCCAGTCCTGAGAGAGATGGAGTTTCATCTCAGCGGTTCTTGAATTTAAAAAATGGGCCTGGGTCTTTGTCCCTGTGCCCCTGGCTGTGTCACCCGGGGGGAATTGCCCGCCCTCTCTGGGCCTTGGCTTCCTCATCTGCGCCTTACGGCCGATAATACCTACTCGATGGGGTCGTTGCGAAGGTGAGATTTGGCACCAGGTAACACACTTGGCCCCTTGGCTGGACGCACAGTAGGGCTTCAATAAACTTCACCTTGGGGCCCCCGGGTGGCTCCGTCGGTTAAGAATCCGACTCTTGATCTCTTGGCTCAGGTCATGATCTCACGGGTTCGTGAGTTCAAGCCCCACATTGAGATCTGTGCAGACAGCTCAGAGCCTGCTTGGGATTCTCTCTCTCTCTCTCTCTCTCTCTCTCTCTGCCCCTCCCCTACTCATGCTCTTTCTCTAAATAAATAAATAAATAAATAAATAAATAAATAAATAAAACTTTAAAAATTAAAAAAAAAAGGCTATCCTTTCTGCACTTGGGCCATGGGGTCCTCCCGGGCGTGCCTGGGTCGGCAGAATGAGAGCATGGAGCCCCCCGCCCCCATCATGGAAATGGCCGGCGCCCTCAGCAGCTGAGTCACACCTGCATCATTTAGGAGCAAAAGGGGCATCTCGGCCGCTCAGGCCCCGGTCCCGCCTCGGATACCCGAGTCCTCCTCTGAGTCCCCTTGCGCCACAAGCCACCCTCCCCATGTGTGCAGCCAACACTTCTGCCCAGGGCAGGCAGGTCCTCCGGCACCGGGTGCCCAAGCTCGCTGAAGAATTTACCTTCAGACGCTGCCACTCAGCAGCTGTGCAGCTCAGAGCAAGTCACTTCACCTCTCTGTGCCTCAGCTCCCTCACTTGTGAAGGGGAAAGGTGGCACCAGATAGCATCACGCCCTTTCAAATGCACCAGTCAAAGTGATGGTAACACCCATCCCTTCCAGCCCCCTTGGCCTGTGGTCAGGGAAATCGTGTCCCTGAAGGAGCCAGGAAATGAGGGGCAAATGTGCGCTCAGTTGACATGAGCCAAGGCAGCATGAATGTGCTAGAAAGAGCTGTGAGGAGTCCTTGCTCTGTCTTTTCCCATCACCACGTGAGCACCCTCATGCTGCTCCCTGATGAACGACAGTGTTCACTGAGCCACACCCGTGTCCTCATGCAGCCCTACACACACACACACACACACACACACACACACACACACATCCCTTCACTTCCCCTTTCCTTCCTTCTCTCACTCATCCTCCCTCAGCCTGTTCGCAGAAGCCCCTCAAAGGTCATTATTTCCACCTATGCAGGTGAGGAACCCGCTGCCCACACAGCTCTGTGTTCTGAGTGGAGAGGCTTCAGGGAGGAAACTCATGTTAGGATGGACAGATGATGGATGGACTGGTGAGGGGGTGTGGACAGATGGATTTGTGGGTGGGTGGATGAGTGGGTGGAGAGATGGATAATTTGGTGAGTGGGTGGGGTAGGTGGATGGATGATGGATGGACTGGTGGATGGGTGGGTAGATGGAAAGATGGATTGGTGGGTAGACGGATGGATGGGTGGGTGGATGGATGGATTGGTGAATGGATGGGTGGGCAGATGAATGGATGGATGGAGAGATTGGTGGGCGGGCAGGTAGATGGATGGATTTGTGGATGGATGTGTGTGTGTGTGTGTGTGTGTGTGTGTGTGTGTGTGTATAGATTGGTGAGTGGGTAGGTGGCCAGATGGATAGACTGGCGGATGGATGGATGGACAGCCAACTAGGCCAACTGAGTGCAGGGTGAATGAATGAAAGAAGAAATGGACGGACCAATCACTCAATGGGGGAAGACGTCTGTCACAAAAGCAGTGGCCACACCACTGCACAGTCACTATGGGGCACGCACTGTGTTAAGCGCATTTACAAATGATCTATCAACCCTCCTCACCAGTCCAAGAGGTGGGCGCCATTATTAATCTCATTTTACAGATGAGAAAGCTGAGACACAGGCAGGGTAAGTCACTTGCCCAAGTTCACATGGCTGGTGAGAGGACATATTAGTGTCTGAACCCAGGCCATGTGGCTCTAGAGCCCATACGTTCGTAACAACTCCACCATCACCACCCGTGGGAACTATAGACCGCACCTTGGACAGACTGACAGAGAGAAGAAGGGACAAATGGACCAGAAGAAGGCTCGAGATACAAATCGCGGGGCACGGAGGGAATAGACAAGAACAGCCAGCAAGCGACCCTTCGTCATCCCGTCTGTTTTAACGTGCACCCGATGGGGAAAGATCGTACGTTATGAGAGTACTCACTGGCTGGTTGGTCCTTGTCTGTGCTACAGGGAAAATTGTCGGGGGGAGAAAGGCAAACACATGGTTAAAAAAAATCTTCAGACCTGCAGCCTCTTACTGTGACGAGACTCGGCACAGAGAAACCGGCGAGCTCCCTTTTTCCTGGCGGTTTGTAACCAGGCAGGGTTACAAGGGAAAGGAAGGAAGCGCACGGCAGAGAGAGGCCCGTACCCTGCCCTGGAGGCTTCCACGCCGAGTTATGTCTGGATTTTGTCATTTCTGTGGTGGTTGTTTTAGTTCGGGTGGGAGGTGTTATACACACAATAAGACACACAAATCGGACGCTTAAAGCGTGTCCGTTTCCCCATCTGTTCTCACCTGTGCGATCGGCACCCTATAGGGTACAGGCCCTTCCTGGAACCCCAAGTGCTCTCCCCACCACCCCTGTCCGCGCAGAGATCACCACGCCCTGATTCCTCCCACTGTGAACTGGTTTTGCCTCTCCTGGGAGCCCTTTTCTGCGTCTGGCTTCTTTCACTCTGTTTTTCTTGTTTTGAATGGTTTTCCTTTGACTGTGTGTTTAATTTTCCGCCCCAGCCCCACCCCTTAGAAGCAAGGTTCTGGGCCCAAAGTGGGCCAAGCTGTCCCAGGGGGATGGGGGCGCCGGGTGGCTCCTGTGACCAAGGCTCTCAGCAGGGGGCAGGGGGCTGGGCCACGCAAGGTAGAGTGGGCAGCCTGAAACAGGGAGCCAGGCTTTACGTCCAGGAGGGCAGAGGGCAGAGCCCATCAGCAGAGCAGCCTGCTTGTCCAGCCGCACGAAAGGTAAACAGCCGGCCAACACGGACACCCACAGACAGAGCCTCCCGCCCCGCACACACTAGGTGCTCTATAAATGCTGGTGGTAGGAGGGAGTGTTTGGTGCCCTCGGCTCCAGCCCTCGGGCACCAGGCTCCAGGGAACCAATATGGCATCGGGGTCCTGTGACCCCAGGGCTGTTGCGTGACCTCATGACTGGGAGCCACAGGCCCTCGGTCCCCAGCTCTGCCTGCTCTGTGGGGTTGTCCAGAGGACAAAGGAGCTGGTAGAGGCGGGCGTGCCTAGCGGCCCAGAAAGGGCCATGCCCTGGAGGGTGCCCGGCGGGGCTGAGGGCGCAGCGAGGCCCTCTAGGGGCTGAGAGGGAGCTGGCGAGACGGAGACGGAGGGTCCCTCCCGCACAGGTGAGGCGTCTCCCCCCCCCCCCGCCCCCCGCTCCGGCCCTGTTGCTGCCTCCCAGAAGAACACAGCCCCGCCTCTGCTGCCAGCCCTGCTCTCCCTCACCTGCATCCAGTGAGCTGCTCCACTGACTTCTCCGACTTCAGACCGCTTTTGGTGCTCTGGGAAAGAAGGAAGGGGAAGAAACTGAGTAATCCCAGGAAACTCGGGGCCCCCCACCAGCCACAAAAAGACCATAGCGGCCAGCGCAGCCCCAAGGAACCCAGCTCGCTCTACCTCATCCCCTCCTCAGGGCGGCTCGTGGGCAGAGCTCATCGCTGTGGCCTGGCTCAGGTGTCTGTCTTGCTCATGAGCATGGGGACAGGGTCTGTCTTGTTCCCCAGGCATCCCCGGAGTCTCAGCCAGTGCGTGGCCCGCAGGGAGTCAAGAACAAATGAATGATGGGTGGCTGGCTGGCTGGCTGGCTGGATGGATGGATGGATGAGTGGGTGGATGGCTAGATTGATAAATGAATGAGCGGGTGGATGGGTGGGTGGATAGATGAATGGATGGGTGAATGGGTGAATAGATTGGTGGGTGGGTGGATAAATAGGTGGGTGGGTGAATGGATGGATAGATGGATGGTAGAGGGATGGACGGTGGATGGGTAGATGGGTGAATGGATGGGTGGATAGGTAAGTAGATGGATGAATGGGTGGGTGGGTGGATGGATTAATGAATGAGTGTGTGAATGAGTGAAGGAATGAAGGAATGAAGTCACCCCTGATTTATATAAGAAGTAGAAACAGTCACGACAGTGCTTCGTGGAGAATTTTAATCAATGGTTTTGAAAAAAGTGAGAACGATTTCACTTGAGTGAAAGGTAAGCTCCAGGACCGGCAGCCCCGTGGTGCTCAGAGGTTCGGGGACAGAGTGATGGGGAGCAGGAGCGGGTGGAGGCCCCATGCGTGATGCTCAGGCTCTGCCTGAGGGAGGAGCCCTGGGCCCCGGGGACATGAACCTCAGCACGAGTTGTGCAGGCGCCGGGACAGGGGGCCCTGCAGGTGGGGAGACCCGAGACGGCTCCCTCACATGGTCACGGCCATGGTTCGTGAGCGAGGGACGCCACCGCAGTGACCCGGCCAAAACCATGAAGGCTCCTGAAAGGCCAAGAACAGATGACCACTGATGGCCCATGTGACATGGTTGCCATCAGCCAGGGCCTTCCTGACACCCCGAGGCGGGGGCCATCTGCTGATGTAAGTGGGTGTGGCCAGCCCACAGCTCCAGCCCAGCCCCCACTGCGGTCCTGGAGGGAGGTGACACATCGTGAGGCTCCTGAGAAGACACCCTGGCTCAGCCGCCTCCCCCCAGGCAGCACCCCCCAATCCAGGGCATAGTGATATGGACCCAGGATACGCAGCCTATACCCAGGGTGCCCCCGGTGCCCAGGCCCGTACCTCCATGGTGATCACCTCCACCTGGACGTTGGTCGGGAGGGGCAGGTCGGGCTGGAAGTGCTTGGCCAGGGCCACGAGAAGATGCAGGGTGGCCAGCAAGTCCTTGCTGAAGATGGCTGGGGGGCGGGGGTGCACAGGTCAGAGCCGAAGGGGCCACCAGAGGGGCCATGGGCTCCATATTGTCCCAACAACCCTCTGAAGACCAAGGAGATCTGTCTGCAGCCTTCTGGAAGGCAGAGGGCTGGAGAGATTTATTCAGAACCCCAAAGAGTCACCCTTAACCCTCATCTCATCACCCTGCTCTGCGAATACAGCCCACGGGCACAATCCCCCACGCGCACGGGGCTTTAGACACAGAGACGGCCACTCTTTACGATTTTGAGCCGCTCGATGCCCCACGGTGGGGCCCCAGTGCAAGAAACTGCTGGATTCAGAAGAGTGTGGCTTAATTCAGGCCAACGTTATGCCCATCAGTTACTGAAAGTGGGACGTTAAATGCACTGGTGAAGGCCTGCAAAACCCAACAAAAACTGGGCTTGCAAACAGTTACATCATCACCTTCCAATCTTGGAGAAGGCACTCAACCCCTTTGGCCTCAGTTTTTGCATCTGAAAATGGGGAGGATGCGGTGATCAGAATGGGGGCCTCGCCCACTCTCATTTCCTACACACAGGCACTGCGGGCATCGCTTAAGTCAATCAACGAAACGAGGTCGGCAGCACCCAGCTGACAAGATACGCGGGCGCTCCAGGTGCCCGGAACTCAAACAGCAGGTGCACTGTTGACCGCGTTTATGCCGTTAAACGGCCACGTGCTTTGCCGCAGCGACACCTCCGCGGTGCTGAAGCGCGCAGGGCTGTTTGCTCTCAACGGGGTACACGGCTTGGCACAGGAGGCTGTGCCTCTGCTCCCTGGAAGGCCCCAGGGCGCCCCCACCCCAGAGGCAGAGGAGCGCACCTGCTGGGTAAACAGGAGGCCAGTGGGGCACAGGGACCCCGGGTCCCCACCCTCGCTGGGACCCCTCCCCAGCCTAGGCCCCACATACTTTCCACATTCCACTTGAGCGGCTGACCCTCCACCTCCAGACTGCGGTTGACCGCCTCCAGGACGGCCTCCAGCTTGCGCCTCTGGTTGGGGGCGGTCAGAGCCATCTCCTCGACTTCCAGCCGGAGCCCGGTCAGCATCTCTGAAGGCAGGAGAGTGAGAAAGCGCCCCGAAGGGAGTTGGGGTTGGGGGGAGGCAGAGAAAGCAGGAGAGGGAGGAGGGAGGGGTGAGGACCTGTTTTCTCCAGCAGGTGCTCCAGAAACGATGTTCGCTGGGGGTAGGAGGGTGAGGCTGCTGAGGAGCCCTCCCGTGGGGCTTGCAGGGGCCAAGCTGGGGAGGGGGGGCCGGGGCCCAGGCCCGTGTTCCCCTGGGAGCAGCCACTTACGGAAAAGGTGGTGCAAGATGAGCCCATCGAATATGTCCTCCTCCAGGCTGCGGACCACGATGTGCTCCGGGAGGAGCTTGGCATTGATCCACTCCACCAGTACCTGCAGCCCCCCAAAGGGATGGCTGACGCGGAACCACTCCTCACCGGGTCCCCCGCCTGGCTCAGCTCTGACCCGAAAGGCCTTCCTCCCACCTGCCGATTCCTATCCACCCTTCAAGGCCAGGGCAAACATCACCTCCTCTGGGAAGCCTTCCCTGCCCTCTCAGGCTGAGTTAGGGGCCTGCTCTGGGTCCCCAAAGCTCCTCTGCTTCTCCACGGCAGGGACCTGGGCACTGTGGGGGTGCCGTTTGCGCCGTGCCAGGTGCTGGTGCTGGGAAGCTACCATAACAGGTTCCCGAAAGTGGAGAGGTGGCTGTGGCACAGGGTAATGGGCAGTTTTGAAGGCCCTTGATAGGAAAAGCCTAAATTGCCTTGAAGAGGCTGTTGGTAGAAATCTGGACACTCAGCAGGCACTTCTGGGGACAGCCCAGGAGGAGAGGAGGGACGTGATACTGGAAACACACGGGAGGCCCTGTGACAAGGGATTGGGGCGGCGAGTCTATGCCCGGAGGGACGCCAAGGCTCATCGGAGCCGCCCGACGCCGGGACGGAGGCCTGGGCTGGGTGCGCTCTCGGAATCTCCGGGACGGACCCACGCTGCCCGCACCCTGATTTAGGACTTCCGGTCCACAGGCTGTGAGGCCATCAGCTCCCCTTGCTTTAAGCCACCTGGCTGATGGTACTTGGTGGCACCACCCCAGGACACCAACGAGGGGCTGCCGGTGTCCCCGCCTGATCCCCCAGACTCGATGCTGCAGCGCACACCCCTGCTCCCCTCCGCTGCCTGCCCAGGTCCAACAGGCAGCACCCTGCGCCTTTAAGGGAGCAGCGCCGCCCTCCGCCTCTGCACCTGCTTGGCACTAGCCCCTGGCGGGCCCCTCCCCTCCCCATCCCCCTTCCCCTCCCCCTGGCTTTCCTTTCTCCTGCTATTACCTCCTGACTCACTCCCTGCACCCAAACACTGATCTCCTGGAGGAGCCCAGGCTAAGACGCATCAGCTCCCCGCCAGGGCTCCAGGATGGGCCGCGCTGGCTCTACTCCTGTCCCAGCATCTGATGGTGGGAAAGGTGGGATGGAGGGAGCCAGGGAAAGGGAGGGAGGGGAAGGGGGACGGGCAATGCCACAGTCTGGGGTGGAAGGTGGTGCAGGCAAGGAGGCCTCCCTGGAGGAGGCAACAGAAAGGCCATGTGGAGACTGGAGAAGTAAGGCAGACGAAAACGGATGCCTGAGCCTGCCTGTACTCAGCTGGTTCAGCAGGTGCAGTGGGGCAGGCTCACAGCCAAGGAGAGACACGGGTGATGTGGTGACGCAGGTGACCCGGGTGACTCACCCCCATCCTGCCCATTTCGCCAGCTCTCCACTGCCTTGGGCAGCTGAGCAGGTGGAAGTGCACAAGCTTTGGGGCCTGAGTCAAACTCCAGCTCTGGCCACCCTTGTGTCGCCCCCCAAGGTCAGGTCACCCCTCTGAGCCTCACTGTTAACTCCATGGGATTCGGGACAGCAGATCCCTCTGAACCGTCGTGAGGCTTGTTGGGGTCATCTATGCAAAGGCACACAGTTGGTGCTCAATAAATGTCCTTTCATGTAGTCATGCAACAGGTCTCCCGGGGACCCATAGGGTCACCACCCACCAGCCAAGGCCGGGGGGGGACTGTCCCCACCCCAAGAAGATGGAAAGATGGCCTCCAGAGGGAGCAGGCAGGGACCCTGGAAACCCGCTGTACCTTTTGCAGTTCTTTGAATTTGGGGTCCTCCCGCGAGGTGGGTGGCAGGTATTTCTTCTTTTCTCCTGGAAGCAGAGGCGAGTGTGACACGCGTGTGGGGCTCCCGTGGGGGGCTGGGCAGCTCTCTCCCTGAGGGTCACCCGGATAGCCCGGCACCTCGACACCAGGGAGATTTGGTTCTGCCGTGTCACACGCGTGCCCACACACACGCACAGACACACACAGGCATAGACACACACAGGCATAGACACACGTGCACGCACACGTACACACATGCACAGTCATTGACACACACACGCAATGCACAGACGCATAGACACAGATGCACATACATGCACACACATGTGCACTCACACAGATGCACAGACACACAGTCATAGATACACACACACAGACACACACAACTGTAGACACACACAGTCGTAGGTACACACACACGCACACACAGAGACACAGATACACAGACACACACAGTTGTAGGTACACACATGCACACACACAGTTGTAAACACACACACACACCCTGACCATCAAACGTCTAAAGTGACTTGGGGCGCCCCCCCTCCTCCCTGCCAGGCTCTCAGCCCCCTCCCCCCACCCAGCCCGCAGCCCCCTTCCCCCTACCCGGCCCGCAGCCTCCCTCCCCGAACCCTGCCCCCAGCCCCCCTCCCCCGACCCGGCCCCCAGCCCCCTCCCCCCTCCCGACCCCCAGTCTCCCTCCCCTCGCCTGGACCCCAGCCCCCCTCCCCCCCACCAGGCCCCCAGCCCCACTTGCGCAGGGCACCTTGTGCAAGTTCCTCCTCCGCCGGCACGCCTACCGCCTTCGGGAGCTGCAGCAGGTTGTACAGGGACTCCGGCTCCATCTCTCCCTTGCCGGCCCTGGGGGATGCGGGGGACAAAGGGCATCACTGTCCAAGGAGCCCCACGCTGGCTCAGTGTGTCACTTCTTTCCCACCGTGAGCCACAAGGAGGGGAGTGGGGGCTGCCTAGGTGAGGGGACAGGTGTCCCTGATGAGAAGGGGCAGGACGCAGGGGTGGGGCGGGACCCGTGGCCGAGGGCACAGCCTGAGCAAAGGGTTGGCAGGGAAATGGTGTCTCCTGGGTCAGGTGCGGGGCGGCCCGCCCACAGCCCTCCTGCGGCGCCCGAAAGCCTGGCCCCGCTCCCTGCAGTCAGGGTAGGGCGCCCCCTCCTCCGTGTCAAGATCCGGAAACCCCGGAGCTAAGCTGCAGAAGGACACCTGGGGCGGGCACAGGTCGGGGCTGGCTGAGGCAAACACGCGGATGGGTGACATCAGCATAGAACCTGGGTTCCTGCGGGGGCAGGGACGGCGGGGGGGGGGCCCGGCTCCGTCCTCTCCAGGTCCCTGAGCCCGAGACAGGTGGGCACAGAGTGGCACCAGCAGCCTTTGCACGAGGGGCCCAGGCTGGCGTGCCCACACCGCCCAGACCCGCGTGCCACTCCCTGGAGGCCTGGCTTTCGGAGGGCGGCCGGGTGCGGGACGGGGCTGTGACTGCGGTGGGGCGAGGCAGCCTCGGCCTCTCTGTGGGGTGGGGGTCTCGCGGCCCACGGGGCAGGTACGGAGCGTGTGCGGCCCTTCGCGGGCTCGCCCCGGGCAGGACAGGCCCCTGAGAAGGCACCCGGGCTCACTTCCCCTCCTGCTCAGCCGGCAGCCTGGCCCCCCCTTCAACCCCCAGCGTTTCCCCAGCATTTCGGGCCCCAGACAGACACGGGGCGGGGGTGTCGTGCAGAATGGGGGTCAGCTCCAGCCGCCCCCACCCACCCCGGGGAGGCCTGGCTGCACCGGGGGGACCCAGGGCTGTGGTGAGATGGGGGTGTAGACAGGGGCCACCCCTACAACTGGCAGCCAGCCCGGGGACACCTGGTACCCACCCGGAAGCCGGGACGGGGGAGAACACAGCCAGGGGGCCAGCCGTGCCCCCTGAATTCTGGAGCGTCCTTTTGGACGGGATTCGGTTGGATGGACGTGGCCGGAGGAGAGGAAGGAGCACTGGCTGGGGGTTAGGGGGCCTGGGTTCTAGGCTCCCTCCTGCTCACCCTAGGGGATTTCGGGCAAGTCCCCTCCCTTTCTGGTCCTAAAGATCCTTACAAGACAGGGCTGGCCTCGGAGCTCACCAGAGGCAGTGGCGTGAACACAGAGCTGGCGCCGCCCTCCCCCCGCACCCCGCTCCCGCGGCAGTCCCTCCCTGCCCTGGGCCTCAGTTTCCTCATCTGAAACGGGGTGGCCTTCCTTCCCCGCACACTGGATGACGCTCAGGGGAGATGGTCCACCGGGCTCCCCAGGAGGCAGGATGGGGCCCTTGGGCCTGTCCAGTCCCGGGAGGGAGGGACCAATGGCCGCCTCTACGCACGGGTGGCCCGAGGGGCACAGGGCTCAGGGTTTGGCTCGGCCCGACCCCCTCCCTGTGCGGCCTCAGTTAAGGGTGTGTTGTCTGGGGTCTGCTTCCATGAGCCCCCACCCCGGGAGCCCTCGGTGTGTGAGCTCCGGCTCCTGAACATCACGGATGGGCAGGAAGCCCTGAGCCGAGGGCTCCCGTGAGCTGAGACTCACCTGGCCGCCTCCTCCACGCCAGGAAATGAAGGCACGTAGCTCAAATCGTGATTCCTGGCTTCCAGAGAAAAGCAGGTTCCTAGCCCTGGGGGGGTTAGAGGGCGGGGGGTGGGGGCAGGCAGGGGCCCCGCGCGCCGCTCACTTCCTCCGGGCCTGTGGCTTCCGCAGGGCCTGCCCCACTGCGTCTGCAGGCAGCTTCCTCCTCGCTGGGCCGCAGGGCCCGCTGCCTCCACGGCCCGCCGGAAGGAAGGCCCTGTCGCTGGAGTGCCAAGGGTCCTCGGTGCCTCGCAGCCGCTCAGATCTGCCATTTCTTCCTGGTCTCCCTCTCCCCTCCCCACCACGCCACCCAAGCCAGTCCCTCCTGGTCTCCCCAGCTCCGAGTGGCAGTGCCAGCCAAGCCACTGAGCCCAGAGACCCCCACCTCCCCGCCGTGGGAGAGGGGAGCCAGCCTCAGGCCATCGTTCCACCCAGCCAGCCCCTCTTCCCCACTTCCTCCCGCCTGGACCACCCAGGAGCCCCCTGGCATGACCCCCGCAGCCAGCCTCTCACACCCCAGCCCCTGCCTGGGATCGTCACGTCCCAGACCACTCAAAACCACCCACAGCATCCCACTGCTCAGAAGGTAACATCCAGTCTGCACGGCCCCGCCCACAGGTGCTGACGGACCAGCCGGCTGCCTCCCCATCCCCAGCTTCCTGCCATGTTGATCCCCTTTCTTCTGCTCCCTTCCTTTTTCGGGGTCTTCGCACTCAAGGTTTCCTCTGCCTGGAAGCCCAGCTTTTCAGACGGCTAAGTGCTCATCCTTATCATCAGCTTAAAAGCCTCCTCTTTCGGGAAGCCTTCCCTAACTGCCTTAACTACAGGAAGTTCTCTGTATGATTCCTCACCGCAGGTCTGAAGGTCTTCTGTGTCCCAGTGCCTAGAACACCCGACACCAAGCAGGTGCAATGAATAAAAACTCGTGGCTGCTGTCGCCAAGGGGGCGAAGATGTTTCTCCAGAGAAGCGGCCCTTGACGCATGAATAGGAGTTTGCCAGTGGAAGACGTAATGAGAATGTTCCAGGTGGAGGGAACAGTGTGCGCCAAGGTATAAAAGAGCCTGAGAGGAGAAGAGCTCGGCGCAGACCCGAGCTGGTGTCCTGAACTTGAATCTTCATGAGCCCAGATGAAATTGTGAGTGTTCGTAGCAGCAGTGGCCGTGCTGAGGAGCCACGGGGCCAAGCACCCTCCCTCTGCCGACAGATGAGGCAGAAAAGGGGCGGAGCAGGGAGGAAGCAGGAGCGGAGCAGGTGTGCGGGCAGGAAAGTGGGTCTGTTCACAAGAAGTGGTATAAATGACAAAAAGCATTACTGATGTGACTGCGAATATTTATTGAGTAGCTGATCACGGAGACAAAGGTTTTAGTTGTTTTCTTTTTTTGAGAGAGAGAGAGAGAGAGAGAGAGAGAGAGAAGCTTAAGCAGGCTCCACGTTCAGCATGGACCCAACGTGGTCCTGATCCCACAACCCTGGGATCACCCCAAGGCCAGCGACATGCACGAGCCGTCACAACCCAGAGCCCAACGGGGCAGAGGCCAGAGCGGACGCCAGAGCCCAGAGGGAGATCCCCGATGCTCTGAGTGGGCAAGGGGTGCGGTAGAGGAGCCCTCCGGCCCACGGAGGCCCAGCACACCCCAGCACGGAGGGGCGGGGGTGGGAGCGAACCCCCTGACCTTGTTCACTCTCCCCCACACTCCTTCCTGCCGGGGCCTCCTGCTGGCCAAATCCAAACGGAAGCCAGGGACAAGGAAACGCGTGGATGCGTCCGTGTGGCCAGCGCAGAAAACACCGGCGAGAGCATCCGAAGAGGCAGATGCAAAGTATCTGGCCCGAAATTGGAGCCGGGGGGCCAGCAGCCACTCAGCAGCCTCCTGGTAGCAGCAGGGGCAGCCAGCACTGCGGTGTCATTCGAAGCATCCTTGGGGGGGGGGGCCTGTCCCCAGCCGGCTGCTCCAGCCTTCCTGCGGTGCTCGGATCACCTCATTTCCTGCGTTCGATTCCTTTCTGCTTGGAGCAACTCTAGCGGCCCCAGGGACAGGCTACTGAACCTGGATTAAGGAAGGCGGGTCTTTTTTTACATGATGGCTTTTTTTTTTTAATGTTTATTTATTTTTGAAGGAGAGAGAGACAGAGTGTGAGCAGCGGAGGGGCAGAGAGAGGGAGACACAGAATCTGAAGCAGCTCCAGGCTCCCAGCTGTCAGCACAGAGCCCGACGCGGGGCTCTAACTCACGATCTGTGAGATCATGACCTGAGCCGAAGTCAGACGCTTAACCGACTGAGCGACTGAGCCGCTCCGGTGCCCCAAGGAAGGTGGATCTTAAGGGAGGGAGGGAGGGATCTGGGGAGGGAAATTCCCACCGTGGAAAGTGAGCGAGAACGAACCGGCCAGCAGTCACACGGAAGCAGAGTGGTTCTGGACCAGGGGTCTCTCCGAAGCCTGGGTTCTTTGGGGCAGCAATCCGGGACTCTTCGAGGCGCCGGAGCCACCCCATGACTTCTGCAGGGAAGGCTTTGGGCACGAAGCCTGGGCCACCGTCGAGGGTCCCGGGTCCCGGGTCCCTCACCCTTCAGTGCAAGGACCCACCCCCTGAAACAGCGCGGCTGTCCAGCGGCCTCTGCGGTTCTGCCTCGGCACCAGGCAAGCAGGCCGACTGGCCGGCTCTGCCCTCATTACCGCTCATGCCCTGCTGTGCCTCCGCCCGCCTCCTCCCGCGGACCCCGCCCGGCAAAGCCTCGGCCTCACCCATACAGCCCCCTCCCGGCACCGGGCCGTGGCCCGGCTCCTCTGCCCGCCTCCCGGTTAGGCTGGAAGGTCCCGGAGCCCATGCCTCCCAGCCCCAAGCACTGGGCTGGCACGAAGCAACGACCGCTAAGGGCACGGAAGAAAAACCACACACGAGTGGGGACAGCTCCATGCTCTCGAGCTCTTTATTGGAATAAATAACAGCACACTGTTTGCTCCGCACGGCACTTTCCCGCCCGAGTCTCCGGCTTAGGAAGAGGTCAGGTTGGCAGCGGGGCGGGCTGGCGGGCGGCCCTCAGGAAAAGCCTCAGCCGGGCGGGTGGCGTCAAAACACAGCCAGGGTTTAGTGGCTTTTCTTTAGTATCCAGAAATCCAAGATAGACACCGCTCAGAACAATTAAAAAGACAAAGGGGGTGAAAAAGGCATTCGGTTCCTTTAAAACACAGCTCTTTGTCACACGTGGTGAGGACATTGGGGCACACGGGGGCCTCGGCGTGCATGACACCCTACAGTTGTCACAGGGAAAACGAAGCTGCAGGCAGCCTCCCCGTGGCCAGTGGAGGATGCAAATGAAAGCCACTCGGAGAAGGATTAAAGGTGACCTTCTCACGACCCCTGCCCGACACTACACTCGGGCACCCGTGGACCCTGAGGCATTGCCACTTGGGCACAAAGGATCTGGCTTTGACTTAATTTCTCTGGGGGGCACCCCCTGCATGGAAATACAATTCACCGAAAATGTGGGTCACCTGAGGAAGCTTTCTAGAAGCTTCCAGGATTAAGGAAAGTTGCTTCTGCTGCTTTTGATTTAGTTCCTGTGGGAGGGCCCCCCCGCCCCTTCATGGAAGCACAATTTGCTGAAAATGTGGGTCACTTGAGAAAGGGTTCTAGAACTTTCTGGGATTAAGGAAAGTGGCTTCTGCTGCTCAAGTCACCCCAAGAAGATACCCTGGCATGGCAGACCCTGAAACTCACACCCTGACAACTATGGAGGCTGGGCCAATGGAGCTGATCAGGGGAGGAGGGACCGTCCCCAGAGTCGGCCCTCCTCTGTCTCACAACTGCTCCCTCCATGCGAATGTCCAGGCCACGCTTTCAACTCTGACTCGCACTGGACAAGGAAGGGGAGGGAAAGGAGATGCATACAGCGCAATGGCCCGTCACAGGGGTGCGGAAGGCACAGCTCTGATCCAGCTTGAATAAAACCAGTCTGGAGAGATGACCTCTTTTGCTGGAACAGTGCAGTCAGCACCGTGAGGCCAACGTGCCTGTTTACAGTTGACCCGTATCTCAGCACCCCTCTTACCCTCTGACCGGGAGCAGGGGGGCTTGAAGCGGGCTCGCTGCCCGGGAGAACGGGGTCCCCAGGGATCAGCACGCCCTCGCCAAGCCCACCTGTGAAAGAGGCCGACGACCGGCCTCCGCGGCTCCGGGTTGCTGGGAGCCAACACGGGTAATGAAGTCAGCACAGAACCTTCCAGCCTTGGCTATTCTGTCAGTGTGAGTCTTCAATGTCACCGTATCCCGTAGGAAACGGAGTAACACCGTTTTAATTCTTTCTTTCCCCCTCTGGGACCCCCTCCATCGGCACAGCCGGGTAGTGGCGGGCCTGAGCCGGAGCAGTAAGCCGTTTCCGGCGTCGTGAGCGCCGGTGTTCGATTTAGTATCAACAAACCGGCTCAAGGGCGCCCATCGACAGCGGGGACAGACAACCTAAGAGAAGAGGCAGGCCCGACCCGCTGGGCGGCAAATGCTGAGAGCCCAGGACGGAGGCTGACGTGTGGGGCCCCAGGCGTGGGGTGAGCAGCGCAGGTGCCGCCTGGAACCCTGCGGGGAGGCCCTATTTCTCTCCTGAGCCACGGCGAGCGGGGGAGAGGGCGGGTGGCCCTGAGTGACCCGCGGGAGACGCCAGCAGGGTTCTAGAGAGCCACACTCAGGAGGGGGGAGCACTTCATACCCCCCACTGAGGGCTGAACGGTGTCCCCCCGAATCCCTATGTCGAAGCTGTCACCCCGAGCGCCTCAGAATGTTGCTGTACCCGGAGACGGGTCTTCGCAGAGGTGAGTACGTGAAAACGAGGTCGCGTGGGGGGCCCTCATCTACGATGTCTGGTGTCCTCAGGAGAGGAGACCGGGACAGACGACCTGACACAGGGACGACCACATGAGGACACGGGAGACGGCCATCCGTAAGCCCACACCCGGGTGCTACTTGTGGCCTCCAGGGCTGGGACCACCCCTCTCTGCTGCCTAGGCCTGTGGCACTTTGTCCCGGAAGCCCCCCCGGCAAGCTGACAGACTCCCCCTTCCAGAAGTTTAAAAAACGCACGCATTCCCAAACAGGGCCTCTGAGATGGATCGAGCAATATTTTTGATGTAGTTCCTGACACAGCCCATTTGGCTGTCACAGAAAAGAAAAAGAAGAAGAAAAGAAATACAGAAATAGCCTCAGCAAATCCTTCCTCCCGCGCCACGGCGGCCGGGTCAGCCGGGTCTTAGATGTTTGTGCAAAAAGTAAATGAAAGAACACCGGTCAAGAAGCACAACGTGGCTCGGGCCCTCCTGTCCCATCGAAAGCTTCGGGGACTTTAGAAGCAGCTTTTAAAACTATAAAATGCTTTGTGCTGAAAAGGCCTCGCTTCCGAGGAGAGCGCCCCACGTCACTCCAGTGAGTCACTGCTCGGGCAGCGCTACTGATGTGCTTAGCGCCCGGGGTGGGTGGCCGCGGGGTGCAGAGATCTGCAGGGCGGCCCCCCCGGTGGGCTGGGGGTGTGGGTGTGACCAGGGCGCCGGCAGAGCCCGCATGTCCCGGGGTCCTCCCCGCGGGGAGCTATGGGAATTACACGAGGGAGGGAGGGTGGGGTGGGGTAGGGGTGGGGTAAGGCCGGCTCGGAGGGGAAGCTGGCCGGGCCCCCCCCCTTGCCCCCGCCCCCGCCGAGGTTTCCGCTGCTCGCTGAGGTCAGTCTAGGTTCTTGTACTTGGTGAACAGGTTGTAAAGGACCCTCAGGGTGGATTTGAGATCCAGGTTCACCACATCTGCGGAAGGAAACTGAGAGACGTGGGCGGGGTGAGGCCGCCGGGCCTGGTGCCGGCACACACCTGTCGCGTCCCGGGAGGAGCCGACAGCCACCACCTCCGGGACGCCCTGGGGGGGCGCCACCCCGAGACCCAGGCTGCCACGAGGGGCCCCGGGCCACCTCCCCTCTCAGTGAGCAGCTGGGCGGCCAGGACAGGGTCTGCAGCGAGGCAAGTCCGGGGGCCCATGATGTCTACATGGTGTGGGGGCTCCGACGGCCACGGGCCAACCTGCGCCAGGACCGACGGTGGAGCTTCTGGGGCAGGGCGGGTGGGAGCCACCACTCCATCCAGCCCCCTCGAGGTCGGGCAACGGGGTCGGGGGCGGCCCACGGCAGGACCCTTGGAGGAGCCGACAGCCCCCGAGCCTAGGCTGCCTGCTTTGGGGGGAAAGGGACCAGGCCTCCTGGACTTGGGGCATCTGGGTCTTATCACCTGTCCTTGAGCTCAGACAAGGGACTTCCCTGCTCCGGGCCCCTGTAGAATGCCCATCAGACCAGATGACGGAAAAGCGCCTTGTCGGGCCACAGAATGATCACCTTGCGTTCCCCCTGCAGGGACCCAACCCCCAGAGCAAGAACAGCATCTCTTGCGGAGGGAGGCAGGCTGAGCGGCCGCTGTGAGTCAACAACTGTCCTTATATCGAGTCCCGGGGCATCCGCGACCCGGCTGGTCAGGGCAGGAGGCGAGCTGACGTAACCCTTTGTCCCGCCTTCCCGTTTTGCAAAGGAGGCCAGGACTCCGGGGGGAGAGGTGGCCTGCCCGCCAGTTACCCTCACAGTGACCTCGAGGCCTCACACCCATGGGGCCCCCGCACCACCGGCCATCGCTGCAGTGACGGGGGGACAGGGCGGCAGGCAGGCCCGATGCCCTCTGTGAATGGCCGGGTCTGAGGGAGGGGCCTGGCCCGCTCCTGGCTCCCCCAGCTCCCTGCTCTGGTGGCCGCACCACTGGCTCCCCCCACCTCCCCGCTGCTGTGCAGCTTTACACAGCATGGCCGTGCCTCGTCCCTGCTCACACGCGCTGCCCTTTGCTGGCCCCCAGGGCCGTCAACCCAGCCGTCAGGCAACTGCAGGGAGCCTTTAATACCCTTCAAGGCAAGAAACAGCTGGCACCCACTGTTTCTTCTTGTGTGGCACCCACAGTGGCACACCACTCAGGAGACAAAGGTCCTGAGGCTCGTGGGCGGAGGCCACGCCCTCCAAATCTAGGGGTTGCTAAGAACCCGCCTGGCCCTCCTGTCCCGAGTGGGAACACGGTGGGGGCGGGGGGGGAGGCATTACCTTCAGGGCGAGCCTTGGGGGTCTTGAGGCCTCCGTCCAGCATCAGCTCAAAGGCAAACGCCACATTGTGAACCTGCCGAGGAAGCCAGAGCAGGGGTGAGGCTGTGCAGCTGCTCCAGGCCCATGCACTGCCTGCTGCTTTTCTTCTGAAAGGACGAGGTGGGAACAAAGACGGCCAGAGGGAGCGCTGGAGTCAGAAGGCCCACCAGGACCCACGCGGCCCAGTGCAGGGCACAGGGTGGGAGGGCGCAGGGCAGGGCAAAGATGTTTACTAGATGGTCCTTACTCCTCTCACCAGTGACCAGGGGGGCAGCTCAGAGATGCAGGGGGGAAGGCACAAAGCCTGGCCTCAAGGGCTCCGGGGGGCCCTGAGTGCCGGCTCTAACGTAGGCCACATGATGAGGAGTGACAGCGACCCTGTTTTAGAAACGAGGCTCAGGGGCGCCTGGGTGGCTTAGTCAGTTAAGCGTCCGACTTTCGCTTAGGTCATGATCTCGTGGTTCGTGGGTTCGAGCCCCATGTCGGGCTCTGTGCTGACTGCCAGCTCAGAGCCTGGAGCCTGTTTCAGTCTGTGACTCCCTCTCTCTCTGACCCTCCCCTGCTCACGCTGTCTCTCTCTCTCTCTCCTAGAAATAAATTTAAAAAAAAAAATTAAAAAAAAAAAAAAAGAAACGAGGCTCAGTGGGGTGCCTGGGGGCTCAGTCGGTGAAGCATCCGGCTTTGGCTCAGGTCATGATCTCACGGTTCGTGGGTTCGAGCCCCGCGTTGGGCTCTGTGCTGACAGCTCAGAGCCTGGAGCTTACTTCAGATTCTGTGTCTCCCTCTCTCTCTACCCCTCCCCTGCTCGCACTGTCTCTCTCTCTCAGAAATAAACATCAAAAAAAATGTTTTTAAAAAGAAGAAAAAGATCTCCTGTGTTTAGAAATGATGCTCAGAGGAAAAGTCACTTCCTGGAGGCACTCAGCCCCGCGCCCCACGTGTCCATGTGCATATCCGCAGGCAGGACGTTGCTGAGGGGGTGGGGGGAGGGAGGGCAGCAGGCGCCCAGGCGCTGGGCAGGCACGGGGACCCTGCTGGAATTGCTCTCTGCATGACGGTGGCAGGCAGCGGGGCCCTGGTCCTGGCCTCGACCTGCCAGATGTCACAGGAAGGTGGACGCCCCCCCCCCGCCCCCCGACACGGATTCTTCCTGAAATGAAAAGTGAAAAGGCACCACTCGGCCTGCAAAGACGCTGACAGCTTGTATTCTGCCAACACGTCGTGAAGAGATTTAAAATAACACCCTGACTGCTGCGTCCATCCACCCGGGTCACAGAGATGCAGGGGGACCAGGTCACAGCCCGCCAGCGGGGTGCACAGGCTGTTACAGACAGGACGAGGGGCCCCAGGAGTAAAGTAAAGCACAGGGTCAGAGCTGCAAAGGACCTGGGGCTCTGGGTAATCACACATCCTTTCTGCAGACACATCTTCATGATTTCAGTGTAAATGAACTGGAAACATGGTAATTTTACTTATATATTTAATAATTAACCAGGAAAGAGACCCTCAGCTGCTCTAACCCACACACAGCAGCTCAGGGAGCCGAGGGGAGGCCGCCAGGGCAGGCCAGGGCCCGGCTGCACCAGCGGGTGGCACTCGGAGGGGCCCAGGTTGGGGAGGGGCCAGTGTGGGGCCGGGCCCGGTGTAGGGACAGGCCGTTCACTCCCAGGGCTGGGTGGGCGGACCAGATGGAGGGGCCCGGAGGAGCCTGGGCCGCTCCTGAGGCCCTCTGGAAAAGGCCAGAAGGGAAGGCCAGGATGGGAGTGAGACGCCCCGCCCGAGGTGCCTGGAGCCAGCCTGGGGGAGGGCCCGGGGCTGAGACTGGTTAGGACAACTATGCTGAGCAAGACTCAGGGCTGGACGGGATGAGGGCGGGATTCAACCCGCTCAGGTCTGGATTCAGACCTGCGCCCCCTCCCACGCTGGCCGGCACCCTCCAGCCCACCTACTTCACACGGGCCCCACAGCTTGGAGTCAGGATGGAGACGGGGTAGCAGAGGGGGAGAAGCAGGAAGAAGACTCGGGTCTGGAAGGTGCCTCGATCGGCCCCGACTTGGCCTCCAGAGGCCTGAGGATCCCTCCTGAGCACAGACCAGTAATGAGCAGGACGGATGTCCCTATAAGCACACAGCGGGACCTGACCCAAGACCGCGCGAGAGACGGCTCCTCCAAAGTGCTCCTGCAGGGAGCACCTTGTGCCTAGAACCCCGTCCCCGCAGCTACTCCGCTGAGCAGTGCAAGTGTCTTCCTGCCTCCGTCTCAGTCTGAGGAAACTGCCTGACAGGAAGTCACCACCACCCAGCTCTGATCTCAGCCACGCCCTCACCTCCACCCGCTGACAGCTCTCCAGGCCCAAGGGGACCAGGCCACATGCCCCAAAGCCCCACGCTGCCCCCTGGGAGCCCAGACCCACGGCTGGGACAGCCTGCAATCTTTTCTCGCTGTAATTCAAAGGATTTTTGAAAACCTGGCCAGGCGAGAGAAAAATAGAAGGTTCTGGAGTAGGAGGGCTCTTCTAGCTCGGCCCTGCCGAGCTTGGGCTGTGTCTCAGCCCTTCTGAGATCCCGTTTCCTCTTCCAGAGGGAGAGGATCAGATGAAGGGACAGAGGGATGGGGCACCTTGAGAACACTTGCTAAGAACTACCTATGAATGTCCAGCCCCCGGAGAGAGGGATGCTGAGGAGTCTTCCAGAAAGATAATCAATGGGCATGGCGTGCTCAGCAAAGTGGCTACCACAGACCATAAAACAAAAAGGGGTGCAGTCGGTTGAGTGTCCGACTTCGGCTTAGGTCATGATCTCGCAATTCATGAGTTCGAGCCCTGCGTCGGGCCCTGTGCTGACAGCTCTGAGCCTGAAGCCTGCTTCTGATCCTGTGTCTCCCTCTCTCTCTGACCCTTCCCCGCTCACGCTCTGTCTCTCTCAAAAATAAACATAAAAAAAAATAATAACAAAAAGCCACGGTCGTACGGATGTCTCAGTTCAAAGGGCAGTGTTTGTGTGCAGAAGCCCAGAGGGGGCAGGGGGCGAATCCGGGGTGGGGGATGGATAGGAATGCACCGGAACTCTGGCACCCTCCCCGAGGAGAGCTCCAGCTGCCCACAGAGCTGTGTCCAGGGGCTCCCCCTCCTGGAGGGGGAAGGGGCTCCCGGCAGCCTGGACGCTGTCCCCTAAAACAGCCTTCCCCTCACGGCTCTGACGCAGAGGCTAAGGCGGACGGTCGCCCGGGCCTCTGACGCCTCCCAGGCCGGGGCAGCAAGCAACAAAACCTTTCCTCCGTTTCAAAGGGACTAAGGGGGCACCTGTGTAGCTCAGTTGGTTAATTAATTCTCCGACTTCGGCTCAGGTCATGATCTCACGGTTTGTGGGTTCGAGCCCCATGTCGGGCTCTGTGCTGACAGCTCAGAGCCTGGAGCCTGTTTCAGATTCTGTGACTCCCTCTCTCTCTGACCCTCTCCTGCTCACACTGTCTCTCTCTCTCTTAAAAATAAATAAAACATTAAAAAATTTTAAATAAACAAACAAGCAAAAAAACGAAGGGACTAAGGCCCGGGCCGGAGGCATGGCACCCCGGCCTTTTGCACAGCCTGATCTCGGAGAGAAGCCCAGCTCCAGACACTTGACTCAATTAACCGACCTTGCCAGCATCGTCTGAATCTGAACAAAAACAGTATCTCTGCCAGACGATGTTCCTGCAACCAGCCCGCGTGGGGCCCAGAAACCCAGGAGCCTCCTCACCAACGAACAGGCACCCTGCTCGCTCCCTCCCGCTTGTGCTCTCTCCGTTCGGTGCGGCTCAAACGTGCCAGGGCCTCTCTCATCCGCCCTGGGTCCACCTCAGCAGCCCCAGGTCCTCTCTCATCTGCCCTCCCTAGCGAACTGCCCACAGGGCGCCAGAGTGCGCAGCCTGATAAACACGGGCCCCGGCGTCGGCCACCTGCGCGCCTCGTCTGCTCTCTGGCCCCCGGGTCTAGCGCTTCGGGAAGATGAAATGACGGATGCCTGTGAGTGCAGAGCAATCTGAACGGCACAAAGGCCAAGTTTCTCAAGGCAACGCAGCTGCTGTCTGGGTGGGCTGGGCTCCGGGAAGCCACAAACAGCGGTGACAGAGGGGACACAGCCACCCAAATTCAGAGGGTAGGCCCTCCTTTCTGTTTTGTTTTCTCTTCGAGAAAGAGAGAGGGCGAGGCGGGGAGGGGGGGAGGGAGGAGAGAGGGAATCTCAAGCAGGCTCCACACTCAGTGCAGAGCCTGACGCGGGGCTCGATCCCAAGACCCTGGGATCATGACCTGAGCCAAAGTCAAGAGTCAGACGCTCAACTGACCAAGCCATTCAGGTGCCGCAAGGGTTAAGTCCTTCGACCCAAACGATCCTATTAGGGGAGTTTTTCTAGAAAACAATCCACCAGAATGGGTACACGCACGCACATTCAAGAAGATGCCCTATTGTTTTAATGGGGAAAAAAAAGAAGCAAGTTAATTGCCTAAGAATAGGGACCGAGGGGACAGAGGTGTCCCAGCCACTCCGTGGGACTTTGTGCCCCACTTGGGAGGATCTGTGACTCTGCGGACACCTGACCACAATGGTTAAAGACACCGCCGCCCCTCGGGGGGGACACTCCCCCACCCAGAACACAGCTCAGGACACCTGGATGCGCGCGCCCCTGCCGAGGGCCTTGTCTCCACCGCTGAGAGTCGCGCTGTCTAACCGGGGTTCCCCCTTGTCGGGCCTCGCTTTGGTTTTTGGAAGAATCCTGCCCGACCCCAAAAAGAGCCACCGGGGGCAGGTCCCGGGCTGTGCGCTGTGACGAGCCCTTCCGGGGCCACTCCGGGGACGGACGCGGCACACGTACCTTCTGGTCGAAGCTGTCGGGGGTCAGGTAGAAGTGGTGGAGGGGGACGAAGTAGTCCTCCAGGAGGCCCATGAGCAGGATGAGGTACACGCCGTCTGCAAACTGCAGAGAAGCACTGGGTGAGGTTTCCGGGCCGTACACGGGATTCCTGAACGTTCCACACCCGTTCAACAGAAGGAAAACGTCTTAAGGTAAGAAATGCGTCCCTCGTTCGGGCCGGAACCTGCCGTCAGGTGAGGGAGGTGGGCGCCCGGCGCCGGCGGGGGACGGAAGCGGCCGTGCAGGTGTTGGGGTGACAGTGCGTCCATGCGGTCAGGGCCACGGCGCCAGAACCAGGCAGCCCGGCCGCGAGGCCCTGCCCCCACTGCCGCCCATGGGGACACGGCCCCCTGTCTCTCGGGGTCGGCAAGCCGTGAGTGCCCATCAGTGTCAGCCGCCGGGATGATCCGAGGGTGACCTGCTGGGTGGCCGCGCTCTGGTGTCCGGCCGGCTGCCCCGTTCCGCTCGCTCCCCTTCTAGACGTGCCAGACAAGGCTTTCGCTCGCCCAGGCCCTGGGGACCGCGAGCCTCTGCGTGTCCATCAGACAAGCACCTTGCTGGGCCCTGAACACCGGGCGGCGGGTCGGGCGGGGAAAGCCCTCACTCCAGATCCCCGGCCCCTCGCCCCGCCACCTGCCGCACCTCCCCCCACAGCAGGGGGACCAAAAAGACCCCTCTCTTCGGCAGACGACCCTCCCCCACCCGCAGTAAACCAGGGAGCTGCTACTCCTTTTAAAGAGGAAGCAAGAGAGGCCAGTGAGGGCAGCACTGCTGGTCTGAGGGGACAAGAGATTCAGGTACAGGCGGACCCCAGGGAGGGCGGGTCTCTGGGGGGTCGAGCCCTGCTGGGGTCCCCTGCAGCCCAGCCCCCACGAGGACCCCAGCCTGCAGAGGTCTGAGGCTGTGTCGTCCAACACAAAGGCCACCGCACCTACCGCAATTAGACATTTCTTTGTTTGGATGTTGCTGACTTAGTCTTTTTTTATTGCGGTAAGGTATACATAACGTGAGAGCCTCTATTTTAACCACTTTTCAGTGTACAGGTCATTGGCATTAAGTCCGTGCGTGCAGCCATCACCACGGTCCGTTCCAGAACTCGTGTCATCTTGTAAAACCAGAATTCCTAAATTTTAATTTTTTTAAGTTCGTTTATTTATTTTGAGAGAGACAGAGACAGCACGCGTTGGGGAGGGGCAGGAAGGCGGGGAGAGACAGAGAATCCCAAGCAGGCTCTGTGCTGCCAGCGCAGAGCCCAACGCAGGGCTCGATCCCACGAGACGGTGAGATCGTGACCTAAGCCGAAGTTGGACGCTCAACCGACCGAGCCACCCAGGCGCCCCAGGCATATTAACCCCTTTAAGTGTACAGTCAGTCTTGTTAAGTACATTCATGCTATGATGTAACTCTTAGTTTAAAAAAAAAAATGTTTAAATTTAATTGTGTTAAAAATACAAAATTCGGTATCTCAGTCACAGCGGCCACGTTTCAGGTGCTCAACGGCTGCACGTGGCCCGGGGCTCTGTGTCTGACGTGTACTAACCTCCATCACTGAAGGAGGCTCTATCGGCCACCGTGGTCTGCTGGTCTAGAAGACCACCTGGCAGGATAGCCCGAGGGGCTGGGCACCCAGGAACGAGCAGCTCACAATGGGTAACAAGCTGGGGGGGGGGGGCTTTTTAATTACAAACAACAGCTCCCGGGGCACCTGGGGGGCTCAGTTGGCTAAGCGTCCGACTTCGGCTCAGGTCATGATCTCACTCACGGTTTGTGAGTTCAAGCCCCACATCGGGCTCTCTGCTGTCAGCACAGAGCCCACTTTAGATTCTCTCTCTCTCTCTCTCTCTCTCTGCTCCTCCCCTGCTTGCTCTCTGTCTCAAAAATAAATGAAACATTTAAAAAAAATAGCTGGATTCCACTGCAACAAAAGAAAAAAATTCCCTGCATTTCTATGGCCAATGATCTTTTCTGGTGGGCCAGTGCTTAAAAATACTTTTAAAACACTAATTTAAGGGGCGCCTGGGTGGCTCAGTCGGTTAAGCATCGGACTTCGGCTCAGGTCATGATCTCACGCTTTGTGAGTTCGAGCCCCGTGTCGGGCTCTGTGCTGACAGCTCAGAGCCTGGAGCCTGTTTCAGATTCTGTCTCCCTCTCTCTCCGCCCCTCCTCCGCTCATGCTCTGTCTCTCTCAAAAATAAACATTAAAAAAAAGATACTACGTTATGTGTGGTGATTAAAAAAAAGGGGGGGGGATATTCTGAGTAAATACAGATCAACCCAAACTGAAGTACAGACTCCCGGTCTGGGACGTCTGGCGGCTGAGAGCGGTGTGTGGGCCATCAAGGAAGTGCCAGGCGGGACTGGCTGGCGGGGCCCCCGAAGTTCAGGTGGGTGAACCTCCCTGGGCCCTCAGAGCGTCACTGCCTTTGCTCCAATGACCCCATTTCCAGGAGTGCGTCCTGGCGAAGCTGACGAAGGCACACAGCTGTGTGCAGAGAGTCCCCGTGCGGCTCCGCGCAGCCTCAGGACGGGACAGGAGGCAGCGTCCAGAGGTGACGCGTGCGGACAGACAGACGGGGCAGCAGGGAAAGGATTAGGCAGAATCACACACACAGGCTCAGATAAAAAGATGCCGACAAAAACGAGGTAACAAAAACCACATCCCAAGAGAGCCGCACAGGGGATCTGCTATTGTTTAAAAAAACCACATTTATGCACCCGAGCCATCTAGAAGGATACGCATCAGCCACCAAGTGTGGTGAGTTAGGCCTGGAGAGGATGAAGGGGCACACGGGGAGGGACAAAGGAAGACTGCTGTTAGGACTCTTCTGGAATGCTGATATACCGGACAGCAAACGGTCAGAGGTGAATGCACGATGTTCAGAAACCGCAACAACAATAAACATCTTTGCAAACAATGTGCAAATAGACACACTCATTAGAAGCGGACCGTTGGCCTTTCCGATACAGCCCGTGCTGTCCAGGATGAGCCTGCCGTGCGGAGGAAAGGTCCGGAACGAAAGCCTCAGCACAGCTATCTCTGGATGTCGGGATTAGGAATGATTCTTGTTTTGCTTATCTGCATTTTCAGACATTCTACGATGAACCTGAATTACTTTTTTAATTAGAAAAGCAAATGAGAAAAGGTAAAGAAAGAGACAGGAACGGAGGCAATCACCCAGGGGTTTAAGAGGATCAGCTGTGGGCTGGAGGAATCCGTACCAAGAGCTCTAAAGACTCCAAATTCGAGCACCCAGCTAATCCCGGGAAAATTATATTTTGTCTTTAATGCCTGCTGAGTCCTTGAAACATTTTCACCATGTGATTAGCTCAGAGCGGGTGGGTGGTGTACTTTGTATACTTCCGGCAGAAGCAATATTTTGTGCACGATCGCTGGACACGTCTTCGGTGAGCACTTGCCTGATAAGGATGGTGACGGAGAACAGAAGTGGGGATGGGGAGATGGAACGTTCTAGACTGAAAAGCCTGCACGTGCAAATGCCCTTCGGTGGGGGTGGTGACTCAGAGGGCGTCATGGGGTCAGTCGTGTGCCCCTGAATGACGTGGTGGGAGTCTAACAAGCAGAACCCGTGAACGTGACCTTATTTGGAAATAGTCGCTACTAAAGTAGCTGAGTTAAAGATGAGGTCACCTGTGGACCCTAACCCCACACACCCCAGGTCCTTACTAAAAGGGAAATCTGGACACAGACGCACACACGGAGGGGGGGTGCCACGTGACGATGAAAGCAGAGATCTGGGGGGAGGCATCTGTAACCCGACAGAGGCCAAGAATCAGCAGCAGCCCCCGCAGCAGGGGGAGGCCGGGCAGAGACCCCCCTCACAGCCTCCGGAGGAGGCAGCCCTCCCAGCCTCCAGGACTGTGAGGACGTAAACGTCTGCGCTGGAAAGCACTTGGTCCGGGGCTCTTTGCTCCAGCAGCCCCAGGAAATCAGGACAGAGGCCCCCGAGAGAAGGCCCAAGAAGGCTTCCCTGCATCGTCTGGTCCGACGAACAAGATGGCACCGGCCTTGCTCACGAGGCCCCGCCCGGGATCAGAAAACAGGGATGGATGCTTCAACCCAAACCCCGCTCACCTGGGTCTCCAGTTCCGTCACCTCCAAATTCAGCTTGTTCAAGTGCTTGTTCACAAACGTGATGAGAGACTGTCAAGGCAGAGAGGGGGAGAGAGAGAGAGAGAGAGAGAGAGAGAAAGAGAGAGGAGCGAGTGAGCGAGAGGGTTCCCTCCCATCCAACCAGACATATGTGAAGCTGGCTGCTGGCTTTGTGAGATGCTTCCAGAGTCTGTTTGCTAATAAAGGGCTCATGTTGAAAGTGATACGTTCTTCCAGTGACCCTCGGTTTTAAGGGACTAAAGCCTAAATCTATCCCAGCTGGAGAAGAAAACACACATCTCTATCCACCAACCACTCCCTCAACACGCCTGGTGTTAATGATCCTGGAGAAGCAGCATCAACGCCTGAAGGACGGAACTGTCAGGGGAAGATGATTACTTTCTAAATGCATCCTAGACGTAACCCTGAACGACAAAAGGCCGAGAGGGGTCATGCGCTTCCGTTTCAGGAAACTTCAGTGAGCCTGACCTCAGGGAAGCAGGGCCACCGGCTGCTCTCCAGCAAAAGTTTCAAACTTGTCACCCATCGCTTTGCTCAGCCGGCAAGCCCAACGTCGATGGGGACTCAACACCAGCCCACCCCACCCTCACCCTGGGCACGATGCCGTTTCCTTATTCGTGCTACCCAAAATGACGTGGCAGCCACTCTGCTTGGTGCTGGGGACACGAAGACAGTAAGACGGGGCCCCACCGGGAAAGCCCGTGGCAGAATTCCCCACATACCTGGTGGAGGCGACAGAAATGGAGAGCTAGAGCACAGCGTGCGAAAGATGTGAAGGTATGTCAGGCACAGGGGCGGGGGACCCCTGGAGGATGCTGGAGGAGGGAGTGTTGGGCTGGGGCGGGGGCGGGGCAAATGGGAGATGGGAGTGGGGGATGGGCAGAGCAGGCACCCAGGCCGGGAACACTCTGGGGCCTTCAGGCTGCCGCCGATGGGACAGGACGAGATGGAAGAGAATGGGGGGGGGGGGACCCTGCAGGGGTGGGAGGGTCTGCCTGCTTTCATTCGGGGCACAGGCAGCCACAACACAACTCTCGGTGTGGGGGTGGGGAAGGGCCGGGCTGGAGGCAGGAAGCTGTCAGGCAGATAAAAGGATTTTGTCTTGTTCATCACTGCGCCCAAAATAAGTCTTTTCAAGGAACGAATTAATATCCCATCTACTGAAAAGCCGAACCTTATGCCACCTTGTACTTAAGACTATCTGGTATACTTCATGCTAGCCCTTTGCTGGACGTGATTATATTTTACTCTCACAGAGCCCCGGAGAGGGGAGTCCTGCCTTGGCCCTGACAGATGGGGAAACCGAGGCAGGGTGTATCTGCCTCAGGTCTCACAGTTGATAGATGGGGGAGAGTTGAATCTTCCTATGCATCTTCTGTCAGGGGTCCTGGGGGCCAGATGTGGCGGGGGTGGGGGTGCGGGGCATGGCTGAGGCCCCAAGGTATGCCACTCACGACCCAAGGATGCTGAGAAGGCTCGGCCCCAGAAGGACCATTGGGATGGTGCTGCCAGCCTTTTGCAAAGTGCTTCCGAGAACTAATAATCTCATTGTCCCGGGCTGCACCAGCATGTTCCAAAAGGGGACTCCCTAGGAACTTAATTTATTTAACAAAACAAATAAACAGATCTCACACGTTTGGAAAATGCTTCCTACCAAGTCTCCTCTTGGAGAATTCCAATGCAGGTCAGCATATTAAAGGCCCTGAGAAGTCCTGCATTAAGAAGCCATTTCTGGGAAATTGTCCCAGACAAAGAGGCCTCCTGGCAGATCCCCCCCAGAAGCTCATCACTCCCCAGCCCCTGACGCCACAGTCTGGGTTCACATGGTCTGTTCCATCGGGAGCCTCACGAGCAGGCTGTCCTCTGCGCTCCCGCGTGGAGGGGAGAAGGGCCAAGGGCATGCACAGAGCGGCTCAGCCGGCAACCTGTTTACCGAGCTGGATGTGAACACAGCTTCATGGTAATGAGGCCCCACAAGAGCCAGCGGGTTGACACGCTTAAAAACACTTTCACGTTGAGAAGGAGCCCTGAGTCGGAATGAAACGGGGCACCGGCGCCGGCTGGGTAATTCACTCGGCAGAAGGGGGCGGGTGGGCAGGAAGACACCCAGGGAGTGGAGATGTGGAGTTAAAAGGTGCTAATTTTATGCGCTGTAGTTACGTTTTTGACTATAATTACACTTCAATCCATGTGGCAAACATTTCAGCGATTTCAAACGTGCTCCCACCTCTTCCCAGCACGGAGCCCATGCGGTAGCGCAGCCTGGAGGCAGAGGAGAGCAGCCCAGCCCCGAGCTCACCTTCTTGACCACGCTGAGCTTGTCCGGGGCGTGATCGAACAGGGTGTCGAAGGCGTCCCGCTCTGCGTGGACAGGCGAAGAGGCACAGGGTGGGGCGCTGCCCTAGTCTCCGCCGCTTCCGGGGACCGGACAGCTTCTGGACCCCCCTCCCCAGGGATGTCCCGCCCGCCCGCCCGCCGCCTCCCACCCGCCCGGAATCCGCTTCGTTCCCAGCCACAGGGCAGGCACAGAGGAGCAAAGTCAAGGAAAGATGCTTCTGAGGTTCCCTCTAAGTCAGTTCCTATCTCGCGGCGTGAAACTCACGGGTGGCACTTGAATACCCGCCCCCGTCACATCCTCAGACTCGCGGCGTCCTTGCCTGGCCCCCTGCCCCCTCCCCCACTCGCTGTGCCTACCAGCAAATCTCGCCGGATTCCCGATCAGCACGGCTGGCTGGCCTCGCCCCTGCCCCACTGGCCTCACACGCCGGCAGCCTCCTCCTCACCTGGCCTCCCTCCTCTACTCCTGGCCCTTCGATCCCTTCTCCTGGCAGGCACAGCGAGCCCTTTAGAGTGTAGCCTGGATCACTGCATGCTCCTCCCCATCCCTGCCCTGCCCAAAACTCTCCAACAGCTTCTCGTCACTCTTAGAATAAAGCTCATTCCCTCTCCCGTGGCCCATGGGATCCAGCAGGCACAGTCACCGCCCCTCCCCCAACACATGCACCCTCCCTGGCTCCCAGGCTGCTCCTCCATCATATGGAGGGCCACAGGGCCTTTGCACCTGCTGTCCACCTACCATACTTCCTTCAGGCCGCTCTCAGAGCCTCCTCCCGAGAGCCTTCCACAACTGTCCACATCTAGAAGAGGGCCCCACGCCTGCTATCTGTCCTCTGACCCTCGCGGGCTTCCCGGAGCAATGGATCCCTACTTGAAAGTGCATCTTATGTGTACATCTCTGCTGGATATTATCTGCTGGACTCTCAACTCCTTGCTGGCTGAAACACCGTTCTTGCCTGTTCCCTGCACTGCCTCAGAGCAAATGAACAAACCAGACCTGCTCCAGAATCCCTCTCCAGCAATTCTTTCGGGGGGTGTCCCCCTCTGCGGGGACACCGGCAGGGGCTGAGGTGGCCTGTTCCACCACGTCCCACCCATACACTGTCTTCCAGGGGAGCCCTAACCCGCGCTGCTACTCAAGGGCCCAGCCGTGGCCTCCAAATCATCACAGGATCCAGCCAACGTGAGGCCACTGGCGGCCAGGTCACGTGGGTCTCAACGGGTAAGCGGGAGCAGGGTGGGGCGGGGGGGGGGGCCTGGGGTCCAGGCAGGAAGGCCGAGCCTCTGAGTGGGTGCAGGCCTGCGGGGAGTCCCTGGCGGGGTGGAGGGGGAAGGGAGGAGAGCACCTGGAAGGCCCTGGGGCCCCGACTTCTGTCCTCCAGGAGCCAGCTGTTCCCCGAAGGTGCCGGGGGCAGCACAGGCTCAGAGGACCCCAGCCAGCAGGAGGCCCTGTCTTCCCAGCACAGGCTTGGGGGCGAGCCCCAGCATCTGGGGAGCCCAGCCGGATCGGGGGGTGGGTAGGAAGTCCCCACTGGCTAGAGGTGGCCGGGAGCCCAGAACCTGAGGGGACCCAGGGCCAGCTTCAGGAGTGCCCGGCCCGACCCGCGGAGGGGGCGAGAGGTACACCAGAAGGCTGGCACCCGAGCCCGCCCAAGAGTCAGTCTCCTGGGGGGAGCGTCCCCGTCCTCGCCCCCCCATCTGGCCCCAGAAGGAAGGTGCTCAGCGTCCAAGGCCTAGGGTGTCGGGAGAGGGAAGGAGGGGGCCCAGGAGGGAGACATAGAAGAGCTGTGTGCGTGCACGTGAGCATGTGTGTTGTGTATACAAGCACCCGTGAGGGGGGCTGTGCACGTATGTGCGTCTACATGTGTGTGGTATCTGTGTGTGATGTGTATGCATGCATGAGAGTGTGTCCGTGTGTGGTGTGTGTGCATGTGTGCACGAGAGTGTGTGTGTCCATGTGTGTGGTGTGTGTGCACGGGGACATGTGTGGTGTGTGCACATCTGCACCGGGCCACGTGTGTGCACGTGTGTGTGGTGTGTGGTGTGTGTGCACGGAGGCGTGTGTGTGTGTGTGGTGTGTGCACGTCTGCACCAGGGCGTGTGCGTGTGGCATGTACACACACACGGCGGGCAGCGTGTCCCCAGGGGCGAGGGCCATCCAGCGTTATTTGCCCAAAGCTGCCAGCAGCCAGAAGGCGGCCATGCAGGGGCCCCTCCCCTGGCTCATCTCTGAAGGCAGCTGTACATTATTTTTACAATCACCTCAGTCGGATCGCGCTCAGCACCACAGTCTAAGGAGGGAAAAAAGCTAAATCTTTACAAAGCAAAACAAACTTTAAATGCAGCTTGAGAAAAACCCTGGGAGCAGAGCAGAGCCTGACGTCAGCCGCGTATATTTAGCTGGGCCACCGCTGGGCTCGCAGAGCGAAGGCGTGCAGGGGCGCCGCGGGAGGGTGTGGGGGCCTGCCGCCCCTCCCTGCACTGGGGGGCAGGGGCGACACCACCCAGCACCCGGGCCAGCCTCCGCTGCACCCCCTGAGAGAAGCCGGGCCTCGGGAGTGAAAACAGATCCCGGTTCAAGTCCCGGGCGCGCGACTTCAAGGTCCCCGGACGTCAGGCACGCTGCTTCCTTCCCTGCCCGCTTCCTCCTCCGTCCAGAGGCAGTGAAAACAGTCCCTGCCTCACTTCATGGTTGGTGTAGGGATGAAACATGGTGGAAAGAGGGACGAGCCCGCCACCTCAGTGCCTCAGCTGCCCCGTGACCCACCCCCACCTCAGGTCCCTCTGCAGACTCTGGGGACAGTCACCCAGGTGAAGCCCCGGGAGGGGCACGGGCTGGGTGGAGGCAGATGGGGAAACTGAGGCAGTAGAAAGAGAACACGAACCCACGACAAGCCAGCGAGGACACAGAGAGAGGCCAAGTCAGCCAGGACATGCCCGTGTCTGCCCAAGTTCAACCCTCATGGAGGCTGACGTTCGTCCGAATAAACATTGTCTTGTTTGTTTAACATTTTGAAAATACAAATGGGCACTGCTGGCTTGTGTGAAGGCAGGGGGAGCTGTGGCGAACAGCCTGCATTCCCACCTGGCGTCAACAAGCCGCCCACGAAAGTGGGGGTGTGGGCCCCCCAGTTTGCCCCCCCACCCCCGCACACAGGCTGAGGGGCCCGATAGCACTTGATGCTCTTGCCTCCCTCTGTCGTGTTGTCCGCCTGGTCCCTGGAGGCACCGAGCGCCTGGGGTCCAGGGACAAAGGGCCGGGGGCCCGAGGGAGGCTTCACACAGGAGGCTTGACGTTGAGCCAGGGTTTGCAGGGAGCAGAGGAGGGGGAAGGGCATTCCACATGGAGGGAACAGAAAGCGCAAAGAGAAGCACAAGAAAGCCAGGGCAGGGCGCAGACAGTGTGGCCTGGGAAGGGGGCTTAGAGGGACTGGGTCCCGCAGGGCGAGGAGCCCCAGACGGTGGTGACCAGGAGGGGCACAGGTGTGGGGGGGCAAGCTCTGCTGGCAGGAAGCGGGTATGTGAGGACGAGATGGGGGTGGAAGAGAGCTGCTCCCCTGTCCGGGAGCCCGGGGCGGGGGAGGGGCCGCCACCGAGGAGAGGCAGCCAGCGAGCCAGTTGCCATGGAGACCAGGCGGCAGCTCCCAGCTCCTCTGGGGAGAAGGGCCTCCCAGCCCACCTCAGCCAGGACAGTGATGACTCACGGAAGGGGGGGTCAGGGGGGGGCAGGGCGACCCCTCCCTCCCGAGCTCAGAGAGCCCAGCTGAAAACCAGGCTCTGAACAGCCCCCCCTCCCCCCTGCAAAACCCACTGGGCAGACGTTAGCCAAGGTCTGCCTGGTATTCTGGAAGCTCCCGGCAGATCTGCGGCCCAGGGCTGGAGGCTGCGGGGGCTGCAGGCGGACGAAGACATGCTTACAGTCCAAGACGCCTTGTGTGGAAGCACAGAAGGAGGGCGCCCAGGGCCCCCATGCCGGCACCCCAAGTCAGCCAGCTCCCGTGAGCACCAGCAAGGGGAGCAAAGAGACAGGCTGGGGGGGCAGGGCCTCCTGGGTAGTGAGCCATGGGGGAATTCAGAGGGAGAGCATTCCAAGAAGGGGGCACTGCAAGAGCCAGAGGGAGGGCGTCACAGGCAGCAGACATGCAGGGGGAGTGAGGAGGCCAGAGAGGAGGCGAGGGGCGTGCGAAGGGCTGCTCTGAGAGGGTCTGGGGGCCACTTCAAAGGCCGTGGCTTTAGCTTAAGCCAAGGTGGGAGGTAAGAAGGAAAGTGAGGGGTTGGGGGGGCCTTAGGAAGTATGGCTCCAGCTCGAGGGGGAGCCAGGGACCAGGACCCGGGGGCAAGGAAGGAGCTCAGACCTCAGTGGGCTGTCGGGTCCCTGAGGGTCCCATGGGGGAAAAGCTGGCCGAGGCTCAGCTGCGGGTCTGGGTACCCAGGGGACCCGCGGATGGGGAGCTGGGGGCGGAGCTCACAGCCTGTCACCGCCAACAGCCCGCTTGCGCTCCCGAAGCAGGCGAGCCCATAAAGCGGTAACAAAGGCACCGGCTTCTCGCGGTTCCACAGCCCCTGTGTCCCCAGCACAGCAGCTAAGTCCACTCTTCCGCCGCGACACCTGACTCTTTCCCAAGGCATCACCGTCCTGAGCCCCGAGCCCGACGCGCCGTCCATAGGACCACGGGGGCTTCTCAGCCGAGCTCCCATCCCCTCTGCCCCCAGCTGAGCAGACTCCCCCCAGGCCCCCCAAACCTGCAACTGGGCCCCTGCCAAACAGGGACGTGACAAAAAGCAGAAGATCCAAGACACTTAAGGGTGCTCTGAGGGCCCCGCCCTCATCACCTACGTGCCTCTGCGGCTCCACGGGGGTCCAAGCTCCTCGGCACAGGAATGACAGGGAGGTGACACAGGAAGTCACACACTGTGCCCCCCCATGGCCCCCCGCCCAGGCGCCCACGCTGGCCCTGTGGGCTGAGCACCTCCCCGCCACCCTGTACCCTCAGCACTGGGACATGGGAGGGCTTCCTTTCCTCTCCCTTTCTTTTTTTTTTGTTTTCAGTGTTTTTACTTATTTTTGAGAGAGACAGAGTGAGAAGGGGAGGGGCAGAGAGAGAGGGAGGCACAGAATCCGAAGCAGCTCCAGGCTCCGAGCTGTCAGCACAGAGCCCGACGCGGGGCTCGAACTCACAGACCAAAAGATCATGCGTGACCTGAGCCAAAGTCGGGCGCTCAACCGACTGAGCCCCCCATGCACCCCTTTATCTTTTCTTCTAACAGCTGTGCTCACTGGAGAACGTGGGATTTGGGGGTGGAGAGCTTCGGTTTTGAAATCTCCCCCAAGGCAAGGAGCTTCACTCAGTCGGCCTCTGTCTGTGGCTGAGAGCTGGGGGCTTCCTACCCCCGAGGGCCGAATGCTGCCCCAAACTGTCCTTATACCTGCCACCTCTTGCCGAGATGAAGACAGGGCCATGCTTCCGGGGGGTAGGGGACAGCTCTCCGGGAACGGCCACTGAAAAGCGTCACTGGAGTCCCCCCCCCCCCCCCCCCCACAGAGAGCACCTGCTACATCCCAGATACCTCCCCGGCCCCGTGTCACACGCGGCCCACCACACTCTTCTTATCCCGCCGACCTGCGGCATCTGGGAGAAGCACAGGCCCCTGGGGAACGACACACGCTTCCCTGAAGACCCAGCACCGACAACAGCAGGCCCCTGCCTCCTGCGGGAGCTTCCCGCCACAGCCCGGAAGTGCCGCCACCCGGGGCTCCCCACCCCCACGGTTACTTACCAAAGCGACCCATCATCATCCTGCAAATGAGAACAGACAGACAGCCGTCAGAAGGGTCGCTCAGAATGCAGAGGAGGACGCGATGGAAGCTGGGGCCCCGCGTTGCCCCATTGAGGGGCTTTTCATAAAAAGGTAAATCCCGCTCTGATGGAGGCTCTGCCCTCTAATTACACAGGACAGGTGCTCCTGTGGACTTCTGTCTGCACCAGGTCGCCAGCAAATGGCCCCGTGTCTGTACCACCCTTCCAATGCCATTTGCCGCTGGTGGGGAGTTAAATCACGGCAGCGGTTAATAGAGAGAACAGTTGGGCAGAAAACGGGGCTCCCGGAGCTGCTGAACGGTAAGCTTTATTTTTTATTTTTAAAAAGAAATGTTTTTTAAATTTATTTATTTTTGAGAGACAGAGTGAGACAGAGTGTGAGCAGGGGAGGGGTAGAGAGAGGGAGACACAGAATCCTAAGCACGCTCCCGGCTCTGAGCTAGCTGTCAGCATGGAGCCTGACATGGGGCTTGAACCCACGAACTGTGAGACATGACCTGAGCCGAAGTCGGACACTGAACCGACTGAGCCACCCAGGCGCCCCTGAACGATAAGCTTTAAAGCGCAAGGGTGAAGGAGGCAAGTCCCTGGGCAAGGACCGCAGAGGCACCAGCCCACAGGCCCTCCCCCTGCGTGACCTTCCTGAGAGGCACGGAGGTCTTTGCTTCCTCCCACAGCCCCTCCACGCAAGCCCTTTGGCTCTGTCTTATTCAACCAACATTCTCTCGCGCAGTTACTAGGTGCAAGCCAAGGAAATAAAGAAATAAACCTCCCATACCAATAAGTGCCTCGGCCCTGCAGTCATAAGCCCCCATTTCACCACGGTCCCTGTGCACCCAACATGACACATATTGGAGATGCCATGGGAACCAAAAGGAAGCCAGACACTCTTGCTTGGCAACCACGGAGAGCTTCCTGGAGGAGGTGAGCTCAGTGTGGCCTCTAATAAAAGAAATGGGAAGGAGGGCAGGAAGCCCAGCCCATAAGGATGAGGGACAGGTGGAAAGACAGAGGGCTGCCACCGGCCAGGACCAACCACCAACCACCAGACGAGCTGAGGACCTGCCCAGTCAGATCCAGTCTGTCGGCAAAAATGGTGCCTGTCGTTGTAAGCCACTTGGTTTGCAGGTGGCTTGTTACACAGCTGTGGATAACTGAGGCCCACCCCACTCCTCACTCCCCTCCAGCTGCCCTCCTCTGGCTCCCAACAGGCCGGGCTGGCTGGCACAGGCCCACCATAGCTGCCAGGCAGAGCACCACGTCTCTTGTCCCAGGCCTCCCTCCCCACCTCCCCCTTCCCCGGCCTCCACGGGCTTGGAACAGACACGGCGCACGGCAGCGTCTCCCCGATTTACCCGGCAGCTCCCGCACCGGGAGTGGTTTCCTGTGTCAGCCTCGAGCTTCCAGAGACCGGACATGAGTCCATGTCGCGGTAATTAATCACTCCGCGAACAGAGCGGGTGGGGCCGCCCAGAAGATCAATCTCTAATGTTCTGTTTCATCTGAAACAGGTTTGGTCGTGGGGCACAATGGCAGGCGAATTTTAAAGATCCTCAACGGGGGGCCGTGGGGGCTCCGAGAAGCCACACGCAAAATTTGACATTTGATTTCCTATTTTCAATAGATTTGAAGCCTTTCAGACTTCTAAAAAACTGCCCTCTGGCTTTCTCTAAGAGACGAGAGACAGCCCTGCACTGTCTCAAAGGGAAGTTCTAATTCAGATGCGTGGCTCCCTTTCGGACGGAGCCTGTGCAGGCGCGAGGGGTCCCTGACCATCCTGAACCCCTCCTGCCTCCCTCCCCCTCTCCCTACAGTCTCTAAGCTCACCTTCTACAATACGGAACAAAAGTCCAAAGGCTTGGGAGAATAACTCCGCTCTCACATAGAAACCTTTGCTTTAAATTCCCCTTATTCTTTTCTTCCTTGTAAAGAGATTTTGAAAGTGATCCGTTACATCTTTACTTATTTATACTCTGTGTCCTTCCAGAAACCACTTGAGTACATTCTAATTCCTGCACCACGTCTGGGAGAATTCCTCATTTAAATACCAAACCAGGGGCGCCCGGGGGGGGGGGGGGGGGGGGGGGGGCCGAGGGGGTGCTCGGTCGGTGGGTGAAGCGTCAGACCTCGGCTCAGGTCATGAGCTCACGGTTTGTGCGTTCGGGCCCCGCATCAGGCTCTGTGCTGACAGCTTGGAGCCTGGAGCTGCTTCGGATTCTGTGTCTCCCTCGCTCCCTCTTGCCCTTCCTTACAAGAAAAAAAAATCTCAGAAGAAAGCGCACACAGGACGTAGAGCTAGGGCACGGCCTGTGTGAAAATCTCCTCCTAAGGCTGGGGCGGGGCAGGGGGGTGGGTGGCACACAGAAATCGGTGCCCGGGCACGTGCGGGGCCCCGGCTCCCGCAGGTCCACTCACTCGGTTGTCGTGGTCAGCTCTTCCGTGACGTGGCTGGAGTGCAGCAGACCTTCCCGCTTCTGCGAACCCCGAAACCAACAGGTAAATAAATACACACATAGGTGGGCGGGCGGGGGGATGCAGGGGGAGGCTGCGGCGGGCAGGGTAAGTGAGCTGCATGTGACTGGCCCTGGGGTCGGGGGTCCACCTCACAACAGCACCCAAGCCACGCCCACGGCGGGTGGACTGCAGGTAGCCACAGCGGGTGACCCCCTCCCCTCCACACCCCTCCCCCCAGGCTCTGCACCTTGCCCCGAGAGCTGGCAGTTACGGGGATCTCAGGAGAAACCCAAGCTCCCGAAGGGACCCCGTGCCGTGCTGCTGGGAGAGGTAAGTAAGGGCACGAGGAACACGACACAGGGAGGTGCACTTGATCGAGGAGGGTGCCCCCATCCCCCAGAAATCTACGGACTAGGCAGATCCTAAGCCCAGCAAGACTGTAGTCCTTACGAGAGAAGACAGACAGACACACACACACACATGCACACACACGCAGAGAGAGGAGGCCGCATGACACCGGCAGAGCCTGGAGGGACACATCTACAAGGCCAGGAGGGCCGAGGGCTGCCGGAAGCCACCAGAAGCTGGAAGAGGGAAGAAGGATCCGCCCCGCGAGGCTTTAGAGGGAGTGCGGCCCTGCCTGCCAAGCCCGTGGTTAGGGTGCTGGCCTCCGTCACCAGTGCTCGCCGCAAGGCTCTGGCTGGGCCCGCTGTTCCGAAGCCTTGTGACCCCTCCGTCACCCCGGGGAGCTCGGCCTTGACCCTGCCGGGAATTCCCTGCGGGAGTGCTCCTTCCTGGCATCAGGCCAGGGTCTGTCGTTTTAAACAGCCGGGTATTTTGTTACACCTGCCCTGGGACATTGCAGTGTGTGTGTGACAGACTTCTCCGGAAGGCTCGCAGGTGTGCAGAGGCAGCAATGGGGGGGGGGGGTGGGGAACGGGGGGCAGCCTGTAAGTCACGGGACCGCAGGGTGGAGCTCGGGCAGCCAGCTACCCCAACCACCCCAAGCCGCTACTTGGACCCCTTGACAAATGGGGAACTCACTTCCTGCCGGCCAAGCCACCATGGGCACCTCTCAAGAGCTGAGTTCCCCACCCCTTCCCGAGCTTGGCCTCCAGGGAACTCTCGAGCAACCAGCACGGGCGGCCACCCACGGGGCTCAGGGCCTCACCCTAGCTGGCTCCCAGGAGAGCCCGGAGACACATCCCGCACCCACGCATCCAACGTATATGAGTCACTTACTAGATGCGAGGCTCAGGGATAAGTGCTGGACATGAGAAACTGAGTATTTCAAAGGTTTAGAACATCAGCTCAGTTTTACGGGGAACTCACTACAACTCAGAGAAATCAAGGGGTCTCCCAAGGCCATGGTGCTGCGTAGTACATGAGACCCTTGCCCTCATCCCTTCCCTCCATGGAGCCACCCCCCCCCAAATTCCTCGCATCCCAGCTCCCGGGACCTCCTCTTCAGACTGTTCATACCCCTCTGGACGTGGCCCAGAGAATCCTTCTGTAACCCTGGTCAGGGAGGACATGCCAGCAAGGCCTTGCCCGGGTCAGTAAAACCTTCTGAAAACCCAGAAGATTTTCTGGGACCACAGTGAGGGCCTGAAAGGAAATAGCTTGATTACGGAGCTGCGCGGCACTCGCGGGGCCCCCGGGTCTGACGGTCGCGCCCCCGTGTCCTCGGGAAGCCTTTCCTGGCCGGCTGTGTGAGACAGCCCCCCCACTGCTAAGCCGCGCCTGATGCCAGGAAGGGGAGGTTCTGCCCACCAGGTCAAGGCCGAGGTCCCTGGGTGCCAGCGGGGTCAGACGGCTTTGGAAAACTGGGGCCTTAACCTCATCATGAGTCTGGCAGAAGCAGCGGAGGACTCGGAAGCCGGGCATTTTCCGAGTTTAGCATCCCCAGCAGCCAGTGCACACAGTAGGGGCTTTACACACATTTCACTGGACAAAACCAGGGCAGGGTCTGTCCCCTGGAATGCAGGGGACGCAGCAGGAAAGGTGCCTCCTCCGCCAGGAGGGCCCTGGCTCCCACTTACACTTCTCCAAGGGAGGAGAATGGACCCTAAGAGAGATCGTGGGGAGGGGGGGGTAATGGAGAGCAGATGCAGAGCGGCCCTAACTGCGGTATCTGTTTCGTACGGCTGGACTCAGCCCTCTCCGGTGAGTAATAAGCTCATTCAGGAGAACTGAATCCCAACTACTTGGCTTTGGAGAAAGATGAATGTCCTTGTAAAGAATCTGGAAAATTGAATGCCCCCGTGCCTTTGAATCCGCCACCCTCTCCAAATCGGTGCCATCGTTCCAGCTGCAGCCATTTGTCGCCAAGCCAGGGGGAGACACACATCGGGGCAAGCGGGGAAGACAGAAGGTGGCCTCTTAGGGGAAAAGGAAACGGCAGAAGGACGCCAAGGGAGGAAGGGAGGAAGCCCCCCGCCCGGTCCCCTACTCACCCGCACCACCACCACCTGCACGGACACGTGCTCAGGGAGGCGGATCGGGGCCCGGAAGTGCATGGCCAAGGACACGAGGAGGTGAAGGATGGCCACCAGGTTCTTCCCGTGAATCGCTGGTGGGGGGAGGGAAGAAAGGAGCTGTTTTAGATCAGGTTATGCAAGAACCCTGAGCCCAGGTCCAAAAGGCAATAAAGACGTTGCTTCCAAATGAGACCACAGAGAAAACCATGGGGGAAAAAAAAAAAAAAGCGCGCGCCATGGAAAAATGATGAACACCCTGTGTGAACTCAGCTCTAGTTTCTCTTTTCTCTCCTGTTGGCTTAAGGTAACGTGTATGATCACTTTCAAAGGCGTGGTGTTTTTCCTTTTGAGAGAGTGAGTGAGCACAAGCAGAGGAGGGGCAGAGAGAAAGAGAGAGAGAAAGAGAGGGGAAGGGGCAGGCAGAGAGAGCATCCCCAGCAGGCTCAGTGCTCAGCGCAGAGCCTGACACGGGCTCGACCCCACAACCCTGGCATCATGTCCTGAACTGACATCAAGAGTTGGACGCTTATCGGATGGAGCCATCCAGACACCCCCAAAGCGTGTTATTTTTAAAAGGGGTCCACTGGGTAGTGGGATAGGGAGACAGAATGGGCAATAAGCACAAGAGAAGGGAAAGCATAAAGGTTTGCTCCAGCCTCAGGCCCAGCTGTGGTCACACGGAGTCCTGAGCAGGGCCTCACGGCTTCTAAATCACTCGATTCCCCACCCACGGCCCCGACGGCCCAGGAGGGAGGCTGGGGTCTGTGACAGGTCTTGATGCCCAGAACCCAGGTGCCAATCTCTTCCCTGCGGTGTAGGGCTTGTTTCTCCAAAGCACAGGGGCCTGTGGCTGCTGGGAAGGGCTTCCAAGTCAGGCCCTGACTACCCGCGCTGAGCATGGGGGATGGCAGCTCTTTTTTTTTTTTTTAACATTTTTTAAAAGCTTATTTATTTTTCACAGAGAGATACAGAGAGACAAAGACAGCACAAGCAGGGGAGGGGTAGAGAGAGGGAGACACAGAATCTGAAGCAGGCTCCAGGCTCTGGGCTGTCAGCACTGAGCCCCACGCAGGGCTTGAACCCACGAGCCGTGAGATCATGGCCTGAGCTGAAGTCAGATGCTCAGCCCCCAGGCGCCCACGGCTTCTCGTGCCTCATTTAGCCCTTTGCCTTAAGGACTTGCCCTCCAGGCTGGAAACACCGTGATGTCACATATTCCTAATGCCAGCGCGCTCTGCAATATCCCCAGAGGCTGGCACAGCGGGTCACGGGTAAAACAGCCCATTTGGTGTTGGCGCCACGGGTACCCAGGGTTGGGTCCCTTCCCAGGTTGGCGCCACTGGGTCCCGGGGTTCCCCTCCTTCCTCTGCAGGCCGCCCCTGATGCCCCGGACCAGCAACGGCTCCTCTCTGCTCTGAAGCACGGCGGAGGGGGGGAGGGGAGGGGGTTAAAAAGACAAGAGGGGCGTGACTTCATCTGTTGCCTAGGAGCTGGCTCTCAAGCGAGCGTGGGGACGCTGCCCTGTCCCAGCTGCCTCCCACGGAGCAGTCTAGAAAACGCAGGCCCAGGCGCCACAGTGAACGGCCCGGCACCGCGCCCCCGGGACTACTCACAGCCGACGGCCCACCGGAGCGGCCAGCCGTGGGGCCGCAGCAGGCCTTGCACGGCGTCCAGCACCGTCTGCAGCTTCTGCTTCTGCCCTACCTCGGACTGCGTCACCTCTGCCACGTTCAGCTTGCAGCCCGCCAGCTTCTCTGCAACGACAGGGACGGGGCAGGAAGCGGGGCGTCAGGGCCGCCTGGTCGGGCCGCGTGGGGGGGTCGGGGGGGCTCCTGTCCCATGGAGCAGACCCTCCCCGAGCAGCCGGGAGCCGTCAGGACGTGGAGCCCCCCAACTCCCAGCTTCCTAGTCCTTCCTTGGAAAAGGACTCCAAGACGGAAAGGGGGTATGGGGTTCAGGGGTACAACGCTGGAACGTTCCGTGCACATAAAACGGAAGAGGTGACCTGAGGCGCACCGGGGGGCAGGAGGTGACGCGCAGGGTCGGAGCGGAGGCCTCAGGCGGGAAGAGGGCTCCGGGGAAGAACACAGAGGGCCTCAGACGTTGCTTCTGCCCCCTGCACGCGCGGTGCCCTCCTCGTCCCTGACACCCGGACCCCACGGTGAGGACCACAAGACGCTCCCAGACACTGCCACTGCCTTGTCACCGAGGGGGAGCAGCGAGCAACCGATCGGCCGCGCCCGCTGGGGACCCGGGGACTGACCCCGAGCCAGGCCTCGGCCCTGGGGCCCCTCCGCGTCCCGTCCCGCCTGCTAAGCCTGGGTGTCTCCTGATGGGCCCCCTCCGTGAAGCAACAACTGCGGCAGCACCGCAGAGGGGGACGGCGGGGGCGGGGCACCGACGGGAGGGGCAGCAGAAACGTGGTGGAGACCATGGCGGGGCTCCCACTTTGCACGTGGTCCCCACAAAGTCCTGTGTGCGGCATTTTCTCTGGAGGCCCCACTACGTCGACGTCCCCTCCCCGGGGCCTCTCCCCGCTCAGTTAGAACAAAAGCAGGCAGTTTTGATGTTTCCTCCAGGGTAATGTTATACAGCGATGCCTGGGGGCTCGGAAGGGCCCTGCTTTCCCCCTCCCTCCCCCTCCCCCCTCCCTTCCTCCTCCCTCCCTCCCCCCTCCCTCTCTTCCTCCCTTCTTCCCTGCCCGCCTGCCTCCCCCCCTCCCCACCAGCTCACAACATGAGCACCTTCCGTGCACCAGGCACCGTGCTGGGGCTTCAGGTGCAGCACAGAGCAGAGGCTCTCCAGCAGGAGGCGCGACCCCTCAGCACCCTCAGGCTGGCTGCGGTGAGCGCTAAAAGCAAAACAAAGCTTTGCTGCAGGGGATGAAAATGGTTCCCGTCTCTATATTTTGAGGTCCCTCTGCCTCTAGTAGGCCCCAGCTGACTAGCGCGCAGCTCTGTCCCTACCAACACCCCGAAACTACACAGCAGGGCCCCACAGGTGTTACAGGGCGGAGCAGGGGGTCCTGGGGAGGGAAGGGGGGTTACGGGGCCCTGTGGTCCTAGAGCCTCAGCCACCGGGAGAAGGGGAGCCCACCACGCCTTGGCTGTCAGCTCCCTCAGCTCTGCCAGCCGACCCTGCAGACTGGCCTTGGCAGTGGCCGTGGGCCCCAGGTGGAGGCGAAGAAATGGAGGGGAGGGACCTGTGTTAGGCTGTTAGGGCAGATTGGGACTCAGACGGGGACTCAAGCAAGGCAGATGTGCATGTGGCGCCCCTGGCAGGCGGGGGGCTGGTCCCCGAGGGAGGCCTCTCTCCTTGGCCTGCGGACGGCCGTTATCGCTTGCCCCCGCGTGGGTTCTCCCACGTGTGTCTCTGTCCTGATCCCCTTAAAAGGACCCCAGTCATATGGGCTTAGGGTCTTCCCCTAATGACCTCATTTTAACTTGATGACCTCTAGGTCAGGTCTCTAGGAAGACCCGGTCTCCAAATACAGTCCCATTCTGAGGCCCTGGGGGTTAGGACGTCAGCTTATGAATTCAGGGGTGGGGAGGGACACAGTTCAGCCCACGACAGGACCGGAGGGGGGGGCTGGCTGCGCCTGGTGCTGCCTGAGCTGGTCCCGGAGGGCTCTGCCGTGTGGGGGGGATGACACATCTGGCTGCCGGCTGCCGGGCTGCGGGGGCGGCTGTGTGGTGGCCAGCACCTGCCTTCGGGGCACGGACAGGGACAGAGGAAGGGGGCAGACTCTCAGGTGCAGCGGACAAACGTGGGTGACGCTGAATGAGGGGCTGTGGACGCCCCGTGTGCCGGAAGGGGCTGCCTTCTGCCAGAAGGGGGTGCCCTGAGTTAGAAGCAGGATAAGAACGAGCCCGGGGCCCTGGGACCCCAGCACGGGCACCCTCCCTCTGTCCACAGATGGTCCACGGCGCAGAATAGCCACACCCACCGAGACCCACAGGGCCGGAAGCTGCCCCCAAAGTCTGCTCTCAAGAGGGACGCAGCTGGGGGCCTCCCGGTGACCCGCACTTGGCCCAATCCGGAGGTCCAGTCTCCCTGCTCACGGCCCACTCCCGCCTCCTCGAAGCACCTTCTCCTCTACCCCTCCCGCCAGGCGCCTCCTCCCTCAGGCTGGACCCTTCAGACTCGTCCGCTGGCTCCTCCCCTTCCCGCTGGCTCCTCCCCTTCCCGCCGCAGGGCCAGGCCTCTCCTCTCTCCTGAGCACAGAAGTCAGCTTGGCCTTGGCCTCAGCCACAACCTCCTCTCAGCCTTGACTCCTGCCTTTGGACAGTGAGCCGAATGTCTCGTCTACACTCCCGATAGGATTCCTGGTGTCCCTGGGCTCACGGGCCACCTGACCACACGGCTGACTGCTGCGGCTCGTAGCACAGTGACGTCATCAGCAATACAGCCGGGCAAGACGCGCGGATTTCCTGTTAATATCTGAACATTCTCTCCCTTAGCTCTCTTCCTCAGACAGAGCGCTGTGTCGAGCCAGTTCACACCACGGGCTGCATCCGCTGGGGCCACCGGAAGGCGGGGACCCCAAGGACACGCCTCGAGGGCCGCGAGTCCTCCCCGGATACCTGCTCTACAGACGCCCCTGTCACTCGCCGCCAGGGAGGCACCAGCACCGTCCGTGAGCGGCCAAGGCTGAAACGTGCATGCAAATTCAGAGCCTGTCCCGGGATCCGGCACAGCGTCCGCGGCCACCCCGCTGACGCGAAGGCTGAGCACGCCGCGCTTTTCAAGCAAGTGGGAGAATGAAGGCATAGGTGCGTGCAAAAGAACCGGAAAGGAAAACCCGAGTGTGATACTCCAGTTTGCTTCTGAGAATGCTCGGAGGTACCTCCCCCGGGGCACGGCTCCGTTTCGGCAAGAGGGCAGCGTGGCCCACAGCCAATTCTTCGAGTCCAAGAGCCAAAGGGGAGCTAAGGTTTTACCACCGAGATGGGGACCTGAGCTGAAATCAAGAGTCAGATGCTTAACCAGCACTGAGCCACCCAGGCACCCTCCAACATTTTTAATAAGCTTGTGATAATTATTAACAATCCTGCTAACATTTTGGATTTATTCGTGTACCGCAAAAGTCATTCTAAGATGGGGAACCTTGGCTCAGCCAAATACCTGTAAAGTCTCAGCCATCGGGCATTCAGCCAAATCATGGGTCAGAACACCCTCTCCGGGAGAGGCCGCGGCCCCCAGGGTGTTAGACCTCATCTCTGCGCGGCCGAGCTCCCCCTTACCCGGCGGCCAATTCGGGGAGGACAGGCAACAGCCACCTCCTCGCCCCCGCCCCGCCCACCTCGCTACCCCCACCTCGCTCACCAGGTGCTCAGGCCACAAGCCTGTCTGTCGGCCGTGATTCCTCCAGTTTCGACCTCCAAAACCCCCTCCCAGGGTCTACACCTCCACCCAGTCTGAGCCACTCTATCTGAGGCGCAGGCTGTCATTACAGCATTCTGACTGATCTCAGCTCCTGCTCCCGCCCCCCCCCACCCCCTCCATTCTGTACCCAGAAGACCGAGTGACTTTTTAAAACCCTTAGATCATGTCACGGCCTTGCTCAAAAGCTCCAGTGGCTCCCTGTCACTTGGAATAAAAGCCTTCGTCTCCCAGGGTTGCGCGTGATCGGGTTTGGTCCAGGCCCCCACCCCCTCCCCCCACTGCCTGTCACGGGGCTTTGAACACTCCAGACTCTTCTTTACCTCACACAGTCGTGGCCTGGAATGTTCCTCTGGGACTGAGTGTGCAGATGTCTGCTCAGATGCGGGCTGCCTCCACCGCCCCGCCCCTCTCTGCCCCGTGACCCTCTGGCTTCCTTCCTGGTGCTTAAAGCGCCTGTGTGTGACCCACGATAGTTCTCTTTCTTCCCTCTGCCAGAATGTGGGGGGGCAGGTGGGCGAGGGGGACCCCCTCCCTTTTGTTATCGCTGCACCCCAGGGCCTAGATCCACACCTGCCACTCGGTGAAACTCTGCCCAACGGAGGAATGACCGACATGGACATGACAATTTCCCTCCAAGCGTACTTGCTGACGACCAGCTGAACAAAGACACGACGTGGGCCACCCAGGCCGTTACGCGGGACGGCTCCCGCCTCCCAGCGCCCGCAGGCCTCCCTCCATTCAGGGACCCCGAGAGCCCTGCACAGAGGGTGCAGGCCCCGCCAGCCCCAGGATGCCCCACGCGGGGAAGGGGCCTCCCTCGCTGAACACCGTCCCCTGGGTGGCAGCCCCCTCCCCTGCACTACGGCCCTTCCCCTGCACGAACGCCCCCTCCCCTGCACGGCGGCCCCCTCCCCTGTGCGGAAGCCCCTCCCCTGCACGAAGTCCCCCTCCCCTGCACGGCGCCCCCTCCCCTGTGCGGAAGCCCCTCCCCTGCACGAAGTCCTCCTCCCCTGCACGGCGCCCCCTCCCCTGTGCGGAAGCCCCTCCCCTGCATGAAGTCCCCCTCCCCTGCACGGCGCCCCCTCCCCTGTGCGGAAGCCCCTCCCCTGCATGAAGTCCCCCTCCCCTGCACGGCGCCCCCTCCCCTGTGCGGAAGCCCCTCCCCTGCACGAAGTCCTCCTCCCCTGCACGGCGCCCCCTCCCCTGTGCGGAAGCCCCTCCCCTGCGTGCTGTCCGCCAGGCCTTGCAGCAGTGAATTCTCTGCTACAATGGAGGGAAACGTGATTCCTGGGCAGCGGGGCGCCCTGGCCGCAGGCCGCAGCCCCACCGGATGCCGGGGGTTTAGGATCTGCTCTCCACCTCTAGGAAGCGCGTTACCCGCACACAAGAGAACACTGCGTCCTTGAGACCACCTCGCAGGGTGTGGGGGACCCAAACACAGCAGAGTGCCCTGAAGCTGAGAGACCCTTCTGGTGTCTTCAGCCGGACCCAGACACACACTTGGGTCACTTTGGGCAGAAGGAGCCCACCGCCCCCATGGTGACGAAAAGGGCAGCGTCCCCACTGCTCACAGGAGCTGGGATGCAACAGCCCCCCGCGCTTGCTTTTGACGCTTTGTTTTTCCTTTAACCACCACTCACTGGTGGGAGACTGCGGGCGGGGGGGCCCTGCACCCGCCACTTCAGTGCGGGACTCCCTCAGGCCCCACCTGCCCCCACACCCACCTGCCCCCTCTCTAAACAGGGCCCAGCCCCCTCCCACCCGGAACAGCCGGCACGGGCCTCACTGCTGGACGGGCAGCAGGAGCTCTGGCGGGAGGCCCACGCGGACGCGGTCAGAGGCGGACGGCCCGCAGCCCAGGGCCCGGGAGGCCGTCGGCCGGGGACGCCGGGGACTCACCCAGGAGTTTCTGCAGCACCTGGCCGTCGTACAGGTCTTCCTCCAGCTGCTTCACGATGATCCTCTCCTCCACCAGCACGTCGTTGATCCAGTCGATGAGGACCTGCGGACGGGCAGCGTTATGGCCTTGCCCGCCACGCCACGAGGAGCAGGGGCGGTGACCAGGGCAAGCCCAGGAGCCGGACGCGGCTGGACACCAAGTCCGACGCGCCCCCGCACAGCGGCCAGGAGGACGGGAACCACCCCCCGCCCCCCAGGCTGCCACACTTCACGAGAGGACGGGCAGAGGGCGGCCACCATGGTGGTCCCTGGGGGAACCTGGGGGGACGGGGAAACTCTCGGGAAGAGGAAATGACCACACTCGTTCACCGTGGCCTGGAGGAGGAAAGGGTCCAGGAGGAGGGTGAGCAGCGCCGTCCTGCGCGGCCCGAGGCCATAAAACGTCCATCCCTCCTCTCCCAGAGGATCTGCAGCTCGCGTCACCCTGAGCCGAAAGCCGTGGAGAGAAGGGGACCCCACATGGCCCGTTAGCAACACGCTCTGCACAACTCCTGCCCTCAACGGCTTTAATGAGATGGAATTCACACACCACACAATTCGCCCTTCGCAAGTGTGCGACCCAGTGGTCTTCCGTCTGTTCGCGGGATGCAGCCGCCGCCACCGTTAGCTGGAGAGCAGCTTCATCGCCCCAAGGCGCCCCTACCCGCTCCTTCGCAGTTCCTTCCAACCTCTCAGCTGTTTTCTCTGTGGCTTTGCTGTTCCATTTCACACAAATGGGATTTCATGTAAATTTCATATAAATCACATTTCAACATAATACGCTATCTGTGTCTGGGGCAGGATGTCCCCTAAGGTCGTCCGTGGTAAAGCTCGTATCAGCACCATACTGCTTCCAGGGGCTGAAGAACACCCCGTGCACGGACCCATCATGTCCCGTGGATCCACGCGTCGGTCAATGGGCGTCTGGGCTGTCGCCACATTTCTGGCCTAGGTGAGTAACACTGCCGTGAACGTGGGTGCGCCGGCCACACGGGGACACGCGCACTCTTCTTGAGGCCAGCTTTCTGCTGGAGGCTCTTCTGGATGAGGTTTTCCTTCTCCCCACCGGTGACACATTCTAAAAGATGATGGCTTCAGCTGGGAAACATCTTCGGAGAAATAGGATTCCCCGTTGGCCAATCCCGCTCAAGGCACCTCACAAGATAAAGCGGACGCTTGAACAGATCGGACCCCACACAGCCCGTGATGTTCCCTCTGGTGCCAGCAAAGCCCCTAATACTAGGGCCTAGGGGCTCTGTCCCCAGCACGTGGGGCCCCTGCCTGGCACTGGCGCTCTATAAGCAGGTACCCAGTTGGTTAATTTACTTAATATCCACCATGTGCCAGGCTCTGGGAATAAACAAGACAAATGTGATTTCTGTTCTTACATTATAATCAGACATTAAAGGATACACAAATAGACACACTTTCAGACTGTGTTCAATATTATAAAGAAAAACAAGTCAGAAACGGTGGGGAAGCCTAACAGACACGGCAGCCCAGTGATAAAGGTCAACACCAACGGCGATCAGTCACATCGAAGGCTGAGGAGGGCACTTTACCTCTCTGGTGTTCCTCCTAAAACCCATTACCCCAGTTTAGTCCTGAGAAGAACAGGAGACAAATTCCCACTGCGGGCCCTTCTGCAGAATTCCTGATCAACACGCCTCAGAACGGGCAAGGTCATCATAAGCAAGGCAAGTGTAAGAAATGGCCACAGCCCAGGGGAGCTGTGTAACGTGGGATCCCGGGTGGGGTCCTGGGCCAGGAAACAGACAGTAGGAAAAACTGAGGAAATGTGAATAAAAGGTGGACTTTGGTTGAGAGTCCGACCCTTGATTTCGGCTCAGGTCATGATCTTACAGTTTGTAGGTTAGAGCCCTGCTCACAGCACAGAGCCTGCATCGAATTCTCTCTCTCTCCTTCTCTCTCTGTCCCTCCCCTGCATGATCTCTCTCTCTCTCTCTCTCTCTCTCAAAATAAATAAAAATAAACTTTAAAAATTTTTAAAAATAAAGTCTATTGAAAAGAACAGGACAGAGTTTGGGGACAGACAAGGTATCAGGGACCAGGAGGTCGGGGGGCTCTTGGTGGAGGAGGCATCTGAGCAGACACAGGAGGGAGGGTGGGGATGAACTGCGTGCCTACCTGGAACAGTGGGGAGGGGCCAGGCCAGGGACCTGGGGTGGGATGTAGCCAGCACTGGTGCCCACGTGGCCTCGAGGACAGTGGCTGTGGCCGAGCAGAGTGACTGTGGACACCAGCAGGGCAGGGGTTGGACCCAGACGTGACGGAGGACACAGGTAGGGCAGGAACAAGGGTCCGAGAGGAGCCTGGGAATGGGCAGGTGAACAGGGCGGAGACCAGGACAGGGAGGGAGGGAGGGTGGGGCGGGGCGGGTGCGTGGGGCCTCTCCATGGTGCTGAGTTCTTGGCCGTGGTGTGACATGGGAGGAGGACGCCCACACCCGCACCTGCACCTGCACCTGCACCTGCACCCGCACCTGCACACTCACCTGCATCCACACCTGCACCCGCACCTGCACCCGCACCTGCACCTGCACCTGCACCCTCACCTGCATCCACTCCTGCATCCACACCTGCACCTGCACCCGCACCTGTACCCTCACCTGCATCCACACCTGCACCTGCACCCTCCCCTGCATCCACACCTGCATCCACACCTGCATCCACACCTGCACCTGAACCCGCACCTGTATCCTCACCTGCATCCACACCTGCATCTACACCTGTACCTGCACCCTCACCTGCACCCACACCTGCATCCACACCTATACCTGCACCTGTACCCGCACCCACACTTGCATCCACACCTGTACCTGCACCTGCACCCGCACCTGCACCCACACCTACACCCGAACCTGTACCCTCACCTACATCCACACCTGTACCTGCACCTGTACCCGCACCTACACCTGCACCCGCACCCACACCTGCATCCACACCTGTACCTGCACCTGCACCCACACTTGCACCCGAACCTGTACCCACACCCACACCCGCACCTGCACCCGCACCCACACCTGCATCCACACCTGTACCTGCACCTGCACCTGTACCCGCACCTACACCTGCACCTGAACCTGCACCTGAACCTGTACCCACACCTGCACCTGCATCCACACCTGCACCTGCACCCGCACCTGCATCCCCACCTGTACCTGCACCTGCACCTACACCTGCACCCGAACCTGTACCCACACCCACACCCACACCCGCATCCACACCTGCACCTGCATCCACACCTGCACCCACACCCACACCTGCACCTGCATCCACACCTGCACCTGCACCCGCACCCTGTAGGCAGAATTTGAAGGTTCCCCCAAAACCCCAGGCTGCTGTGATCCTCCCAGGGAATGTGAGATGATGGCGTGAACCCCAGGATTAGGCTAGTGTAGGACCCACTTGACCTCACGAAAGAGATTATCTAGGAGGGCCAGACCTAATCAAGTGAGCCCTTTGAACCTGACCTAGAGGTCAGAGACCACAGGCCGAGAGAGAGGGGCAGCATGGGGGTGGGAGGGGGCGGGTTCTCCATTGCTGGCTCTGACCCCACCTGGAGAGGACAGGCTTCTAGGGGCAGAGAGCGGATCCATCCTCGGAGCCTCCAGAAAGGAACTGGTGTCACTCAGGTGACACCCTGAGCAGAGAGCCCAGCCACAGCGCGCTGACCTCTGGCCTACAGAACCGTCCACTAATAAATGGATGTCGCTTTAAGCAGCCGAACTGGCACTTACTTACACGCCAACAGAAAACCAAACGAACGGCATTCTGTTACCACACATCTCAAGCCTCAGCGTCCTACGCGAGCACCGCCGCCATCACCACCGACAAGACGCAGTGCGCTCTGGTGCCTGGGTCAGAGCTTGACACCCGCCCTCCCCGAGTTTTTGCCGTGTGACCTTGAGCCGGTCACTTAACCCCCGTGGTCCTCAGGGTCTTCCTGAACAGGAAGACAAATCAATTCCTATCCCTGTGTGTTCTGTGCGACCCAGCCATTCCAGTTCCAGAAGTTTCTGCCAAGATACTTCTCCAAATGTGCTCGAAGACATTGACCAACTCTGGAACGATTCCAAATTTTGTGCAGGAAAAGTTATACACGCAAAACACAAAGCCTGAAGGGACACAAATAAAAGAAAATTACCGCTGCCTTCTGTTTGCTTCTCGTCCCCTAGGTTTCCACAGTATATATATATATATATATAATGCTGTGGTAGAGAGGAAAAAATAATAATAAATACCGTTAAAAAAAAATCACCATCCAGATGGCTTCTTTGCAGAAACGGACAAGCAGATCCTAAAATGCACATGCAAACTCAAGGGCTCCCCAATAGCCAAAGCAATCTAGAAGAAGAAGAACGTGGAGAAGTCACACCTCCGGACTTCAGACGTAACTACAAGCTGTTACCCCAGCACGCGGTATGGGTATAAGGACGCACACAGAGGCCGACAGGATGCAACTGAGAGCCACAGAGAAATCTGCCAGCACAGTCAACCGACAGCCATAAGGATACTACCTCAGTTCAGCAAACGGCGTCTGGACCACTGGACACTCACATGCAAAACAATGCGTCACACCACAGACCGAAATCAACTCAAAATGGACCCAACACCTCAGCATAAAAATGAGAACCGTGAAACCCTTAGAAAGCACGGCGTAAACCTTCACGAGCTTGGAAAACACCGCGATCTCTTAGCTACGACACCGAAAGCACAAGCCACCAAAGAAAAAAGCAGATATGCCAGAATGGAACAAAACTAAACGCTTTTGTCCCTCTGAAGAAACCAGCGAGAAAGTCAAAAGATGGCCCACAGAACAGAGAAGATTTTGCAAATCTTGAGAAAGGATTTGTATCTTGAATATATAAAGAGCACTTAGAACTCAATAAAGACAACCAATTTTAAAACGGGCAAAAGATCCAAAGAGACATTTCTCCAAGGATGCATACACGTGCCCAATGCATGAAAAGATGGCCAACATCGCTCACCATGAGGCAAATGCAAATCAGAAATGGTGACACACCATTTCATACCGTAGGGT